AAATTGCAACTTGTATGCCTGAAAATAATCTAACCTAACGGTATCGCGTATTAATGTAGGCGTCAAATGTAGGTGTTATCATTTATCAGCCTCGCTCGGGTATGCGCTCACGTGTTTGTTCCCGTTTTAATAATTAACATGCCTTACATGTTCCTCGCTCATGGATGACAGCAAGCTCGAGCTATTAAAAGAATAGCGCGAATCTTTGTTGTAGGACCGGTAATAATTCCCCTTTCCCTCCCCCGACGTTTAATTAATACGAAATAATGCCGAGCGCTTGATGAAAGCGTATAATTACTTGAAATATGCAAACGATAGTTAATAAACGATATACGCCGGCCTCCGCGCGCCAGCTGAAAACACGGTGGATTGCGTAGGTACGTTTTGTAACGTATTTGTATATCCGCTTATTGAAAATTGTAACGGGCGTACCTTATATTAGATCCCTCCCCTCGCGCTCTGAAACTTTCATCAAAAGGAATTCGTTAATGAAAGCCGTGCTCATTACCGTGCCCGCCCGCCGTATTTTCCCACGGCGCTTTGCGCGAGAGGATCTCTCGATTCAGAGAGACGCCGCACCGCCGCCGTCCCTCGGAACGAAAAACGGGATCGAGCACGTGCCGCCGCGGCGTGAACGTAACGCGGTCGTTAAGGTGAAAGTTCATTCGCCGGCGGACGATCATCGAGAGCGACGACGACGACGACGACGACGGTAGCAGTTTAGGCTGACAGAGACTCGGAAGAAGATGAAAGGAGGCACAGAGGAAACGCGGGGGGGGGAGGCTTCTCGATCGCTCCTGCACACTCGAGAGAGCTTCAGCGAGACAAAAGCGTCGTCCGCGACGCCGCGCCTCGCGATGCATTTTCCACGGAATCGATTTAATCGAGTCACCACGACGACGATGACTCGCCGCCACCCGGTGGTGGCGGCGGCGGTGCCTCGTGGTGGTGGTGAACCTCGCCGAGAGAGAGTATTGACCTACCCAGGCAGGGGTTCCCAAGCCTGGGAACCCAAAGTTGGGCAAAACGAGGGGAGGAGAGGAGAGAGGCTCTGTGGGTCGCGAGTTCGAGGATAACGAGGCCGTGAATATAATGACGAGGATCGAAATTGTAGCGATGTGAAGAACCGGGGGAAAGAACACGTGCATTTTCTCCGCGAGAATCCCCCTCTCCCCCTCCCGTTTTGCGCAAAGTGCAGTGTAAAGCTTCCGCTTTGTGGAGTACACTGCACACGCGGGGAAACCAATGAGCTTCCTCGGTGGAGTCACGGCTGCCTTCCTCGGTATTCCGTATATATAAGATTTTATACATATTTACTCCGTTCGAACTCTGCACTTTGCGTGCACCTACAATTTTCTTATCGCGCAATTTTAGAGATATTGATTTACCGGAGACTTTTTATTATTCCGTCCGCGTTACTATATTAACGTGTCACACTATATATCGCGCGAAACAAAGGCGTAGATATTTTCCTAAACACTGTATTATACGTGCATAACTTTTAAGTGAGGCAAACACATCGGCTACGCGCTTCGGGAAATTGATCAATAGGGTATCGCGTATAGTTCGTTAACTTCATTACAGTTATAGGGCTCTCCTCTCAGCGCGAGAGAAGAGATCTCCGCGTTCTCTCGCCGAAGAGTATATCCTCGAGCGTATGTACAATACTCGACGGCGGAATCGGGTCATCGGTTATTTTTCTTCCTTTCTCTTTTTTTTTCGCGCGTCTCCCGAAAGACACGGCCGTTCTTCGAAAGGCTCCGCGCGTAACAGCCGCCGCGGAGAGCTTTATATTCCCGGAATGATATTGCATCGGCGCGCGCGGAGGGACCGGTTTTCCGTTGTTGCACATCACGGATCGCGCGCATCCTCGTCCCTCTCTCGTCGGTTCCCACATTGTGTATACGCGAGAAGAGGCGACGCCAGCAGCAGGCGGCGTAAACTCGGCGCCGTCGCACCCTCCTCCGGAGGGGAGTATAGACCAGTGTACTATGTCATCGTTTCTCGACGAGGAGAAAAAAAAAAGAAAATAAAACAATAACGACCTGCGCACGGAATGGCACGTCGCAGTCGTCCGAGCCTGCGAGTCCAGCGCGTATGCGAATCGACACAGTTGACTCTGACGGAACGTCGAAAGCGGGCTCGAAAGCAAAGTGCAACCAACAATTGACGATACCTACCGTTGGCGAGGCTCTTTGAAAGAGACGGATGTGACGAGATCGTCTCTTTCCGGAGCCCCTATTAAGTACGCTCGTTATAATTTTTGAAGGAGACGCGCGTAACTCCTTTGCGACATCGCGCGTTCCTCGTCGCGCGTCTCCCAGATTCCCGTTTCTTTTCCTGTAAAAACTTTGAATCGATCGAAAGATATAGCGGTCGATCTTTGGTTTCGTTATCTTATCGACCGGCAAACAAAGCACTCATATTTTTATGATTTCACTCTTATTTATTGTACGTTCGACGGTCAATAAGTTGTACCGGAGGATTATTTCGCCGGAGATATTCGTTCGCTTTAAAGTTAAAATCCGCGATGGATGGATTTCGCCGGCGGCTGGAGATTTATCCGACTGCAACAAAGTGTTGTGCAGCGCTTTAAACTACAGTACGCTGCACTCCATTTGCTCGTCCCCCCCTCCCTCCCTCCCCTGTGCATGCGTGAAATGCTTTTAAAGCGCAATCGTTCGTACGTTGACTCGGCGGAACGATTGCGTCGGGCGAGGCGTCCTGATAAGCGAAAGAGTCTTTGCGCCCCTCGAGGGGGAGACCGAGGACCTCTTCTCTCATATCTACCGGGATTACGCGTCTCGTATTCGGCGTAATCCTGCCGGTCCTGTCGGCCCAGATTTTTCAATCGCGTGAGATTTCGTTCAAAAGGCAAAAAAAAAAAGAAGAAAGAAAGAATCTTTCTACGCAAAATTCACTTCTGTCGCCACTCGTAAAAAATTATAAAACTCTGTATTTAGGTAGCGTGATTTAGAGAGCGCGAAACAGTTTGCTTTATTTTACGGCGGCATTTGCGTGAAGTAAACGAGAACAAATTTGGAGAGCGAAATGGAGTCGCGCTGGGGGGAGGAATGTCGTTTTATCCCAGTTAACAACGACGGTAAAAATTCAAATAAACGGTGACCAAGGCGAACGAGCTGTTGAACTCGGGCTGGTGATTCAGGTTCATTAGCGGCGACTTAATGGACGCGATAGAGACGGACGACGACGACGACGGCGGGGCTTTTCTCCTCCTTGACCTTACGCACGGCTGTGTTTACGGAGTCGTCGCGCGTGTGTGCGCTCAGATTATCTGATTCATTCGTATTCCACGATCGGCGCCCAAGTGTAACGGAACGCGCGGCGTGTGTCGCGCGGTTTCCTGCAACGTTCCCTTATACGTCCCGAAACGCTAAACGATCGCCACTTAGGCGGCCAGTTACCTTTTCGAATTGCATAAAGCGTAAACTGAAATGCCCAACGACATCCAAACAGCGAGTTGACTCGGAGATGTTTGTTGAAATTAAAATGCTTTCGTCATAAAAACTTTTTTTCAATATACCCAATGATTAATTTCATTTCTCTTTGATAAATATTACTTCTTAAAATAGATTAAATTCACCTTTTTATTTTTTCATCTGTATATACTCAAATATATTAATCCTTCATGGTCAAAATGACCCGAGTATAATCTTTTGCGCTTATAGATTTCAGAAATCTTCAAAATAAATACCTTTTTTGAAACATGTATAATCATACTATTTTTTTTTCCTTAAAAGTACATCATCTTAAGAGTATTAGGCTAAAATTTTATTTAAAAATATTAAAAATTAAAAAAGTTATGATTTTTTAAGTAAAAAAACTCATTTTTTCGAAGTTAACACGTTACAATTTTTTTTTTAATGTTAAGATTAAATTTTTTACTAAAACACTATTGTTCTATTTTCTTAAAGGTTGAAATCATATATTGTAATTTTTTAAAGTTAATAATGGAATTAATACTGTTGATTTGATAACACTTTAAAAACGGCTCGGGTCATTTTGTCCCAGTATGATCATCGTGTAACTATTATGAAGTGTGACCATGAAGGGTTAAATAATAAACTTAGAGAATAAACTTTGAATCAATGGTTTAATAACGGAGCTGTAAATCAGTGAATAAGAAAGTTTCTTCACTCATATTCTTAAGAATATATAACGCGCTTGTTAATTTTGTATTCGAAGGCAGCCCGCATGAAATTCGCTTCATCGTTCTTCTCGCTGGCCATCGCGGCAATTTTGCTGTCCTTCGATATAACGGTCGATGTTTAGCACTCCGGCCACTTCCGGCCGGAAGTGTATAAGACTCTGCGGTAGCGGAAGCCGCGCTACCGTCGTTGCCTGGCACACAATATCGATCGCGCCTCAGCTCCGCCACGGCGCGGCGCGGCACGATGCGATTTTATCGCTTCACAGCGCTCTTTCGCGAGTTTACGCGCATTTCGCGTACGAGCACGTCACGGTCGAAGTAACGCGTGGAATCGCGCCACGGTGTATTTGCTGGCGTATCGCGGAACAATGTTGGCCTTTCCCGCGAAGCGGGCAGCTCTTGTAATCGCGAAACGCAGACCCGTCTCGTCCTCGTTCGCACTCAACCGAATCGAAAATGAAAATGAGGATAACGGAACCGTAATCCTGTTTCTTTATTTAAGTTAATTAAACAGAAAGCGCATTACTATTGTTACTATTATTAGATTATTATAATTAAATTATCAAAACGCGAGACTCACCTTTGGCTCCGAGCCGGATAAAATTAAAATTTAGTAATATTGAATAAAAATCTCAATTAAAGCGATTAAACTGAACAACGTTTATTTCGCCATAAAAATTCACATGATTTATATTAAATTCCTATAAGAAAATACATATCCTTCTCTCGAAATTACATAAAATAGCTGACAGAAACTTTAGATTCTCGAGGAATTCAAATCGATAAACGCGGTGGACACGAAATTAACGATTACTCTTTTCTTCCGCAGATCCAAACAAAGCGTGAATTGTTCTTCAAGGGCGACGGTACAGGGATAATCTCGTCGCCGTCAGTGCCGTCGGTGCCGCCGCCGCAGCCGCCGACGCAAGCCCCCGGGTCTCAGGTGAACAATTCGGTGGCGAACGCCACGACGGCCAGCAGCCTCACATCCCCCAACACGGCGCCGGTGTACTCGAGCAGTGCCCTGAGCGGGCTCAACGCGAAGTCGCGGCTGCCGTCCGCGACGACGATCCCGAACGACGCCTCGGAGGACAGCAACAGGCGCGAGTCGGCACGCACCGCGATCTCTTCCAAGGAGGACAGCAACAAGGAGGCCAGTCTGCTGCACCATGCGCGACCCACGCCGCCCACCAAGCCCAAGGAGCTCGACGGTTACGTCGGCTTCGCGAATCTCCCCAACCAGGTGTACAGGAAGGCCGTGAAGAAGGGCTTCGAATTCACGCTCATGGTCGTAGGTCGGTAACAATTGGAAAATTGGGACCAGTTGTTCGCGCGATTAAATGGTTTTCCCACGAATTGTACAAGTTATTAACGGTATATAATATTTTTGTGCTAATATAAATTGCTCATGTTGATAATTCGTGATTTGTATGCAAACGCAGGAACTGCTGTTCTCGAGAGATAAATTCAGTCGGTGTTTGCGCTTATGAAATATGCAAACGTGCATGAGAATTTTTTTTTTTTAAAGCGGCGCCGAATGGATCGATAAGACGTAATCGCTCGTGGAAGCGCCGCGGAGTCTATTATCGAGATCGGATCTCTATTCGCGGCGGAACACGCGATCCCCCTTCACAGGGGGTTGAGCATTAAAATGTCCATTATGCGGTAGCGGAAGAACAACGGTCGTCTGTCTCGCGAGAGCTGGCCCGGGCAGGAGGACAAAGGGATCCGTTTCTTCGTGGTAGTTGCAGCGGTATTCCCATTTCGTTGGGAATATCATCTCGCGATGCAACCTCCCATCTGCCGAGCACGTGCGAGTTCTTCTCTTTCTCTTTCGTTCGGCTCCTTTCCTCGCTCGTTGGATCAAGGCTGTCGCCGAGGTTCAGCGGTTCTCACACGCGAGGATGCGCGCCTGCGGGACACGCCTGCGATTCCGACCTTCGTCGACCGTCGAATCCACCTCCCCCTTTCTCTCTCTCTCTCTGTCGACCTCGTCATTATTTATTACGAGTTACCATGATGCGTACTCGAGGCGGCCAATTTGCGGCACTAACGCATCACGTAGCGACTTTGCAACTTCGATTGAAAAAGATTATAAATCGTTAATTGTAGCTTGCATTTTTTCTCTCTACTGCTCTTGGATTTATCGCCTGGATTTATCCGGTTTCCGAGAGGAGCATAATTGAAGGCAATTAATACGAGGATATGGCGTATTTAACATCTAGTTATCTAAATCTCTTATGACGAGCGATGAAGGGGCTTTTATAAAATAAAATTATGTCTGGAAATATAATGCGCACCCATGAAAAATATTTTAAGAATTCGGCCGGGAGCTTCGAGCGGGAGGCAGTAACAAAAGTGCTGACTTAAGTGCTGTCGATCTCGAACGAGGCGCTTGCACGCGGGTGTGAAAGAGTGTCATTGGGTCTGGAGAAATTTGAGAGCGCGGTCTGCTGCGTGCGGGGGCTATTATTAGCCCGCGTATAAGCGGAGCCGTTCCTCCGTAAATAGAACAATTCAAGAGCTTACCCTTGGCTGAAGGCGTAGGCGCGGCACTTCGCCTGGTTCAAGGTTCGCGGTTCGCGCATTAAAAGGTCACGGCATTCATTTCATCTCATTTCGTTTCGGTCACCGGCACCAAATTTATTTGACCGCGATTCCATTGGACGCGGGACATCCCGGAGAAACGTCGACCGTAAATACTTCGTGATTAATGATTGTTGTGACGGAACATGACGATGACGGAATATACATTTAATGGCTAGGAAGTTGTTCTCAAGAATTTTTTGGATGCATTAACTTACAGAAAATATTTAGAGATATCCTTGTAAGAGAATATCGATAATATTTTTTGAATAGGAATATTGATGATATTCCTATAATTAGAACCGTAAAATGTACATTTCCGTAAATCTTTAATCAAACTGTTCGAGTGATTAAGACATGTATTCTGCTATGCTATAATTGTACAATTCGTGTTAAACTCTTATTATTCGATTTTTCAATTTAAAAAAAAAATTCCACAAATTCAATTATCTCAAGATTATACATTATCAAAACATGATAAAGAGTTTTTTTATTTTAAAAATTTTAAATTTCTATAGGGGAGTCGGGTCTCGGCAAATCCACCTTGATCAACTCCATGTTCCTGGCAGACATATACAGTGCCGAGTATGCCGGACCCAGCCTGAGGATAAAGAAGACGGTTGCCGTGGAAACTAGCAAAGTGCTATTGAAGGAGAACGGAGTCAATCTCACCCTCACGATCGTCGATACCCCTGGTTTCGGTGACGCCGTGGATAACAGCAACTGGTAATAAATCTGACGATTTGATGATTTTAAATTACACATATATTCGTGTCTTTGAACCTCTACAGCTTATTTGATAACATCTGCTTTTGTTCAGTTGGGTGCCAGTAATAGACTACATCGAGTCGAAATACGAGGAATTCCTTAACGCAGAGTCCCGCGTGACGAGACGGCAGATCCCAGACAGTCGAGTGCATTGCTGTCTCTACTTCGTCGCGCCCTCCGGTCACGGATTGAAGCCGCTCGATGTGGAATTCATGCAGCGTCTCCACGACAAAGTTAACATCATACCTGTCATTGCCAAGGCGGACACCATGACGCCGGATGAGTGCGCACACTTCAAGAAACAGGTACGATTTGCCTGTAATGCACTGTAATTTTAAAGAAGAAAAAAATTCGCTTTTCTGAAAAATATAAGGAAAGACGTCGCTCAATAATAGAAATTTTTATAAATCCTTAACAGACTTCCTGTCGTATAAATCTATAAAACAAAATAATTTATTAGTAGCAATTATAAAGTATTTAACAGCACTCCGGATTTCTCACTCTTTGGACATATTTTCTCTTCTAAATTATTAATTTAAGCTGCTGTCTCGCTTTCCAGATTTTGAACGAGATTGCGCAGCACAAAATAAAGATCTACGAGTTTCCAGAGGTCGAAGAGGAAGAGGACAACAAATTCCATAAATTATTAAGGGACAGAGTGCCATTCGCAGTCGTGGGGGCGAATACTGTCGTCGAACACGACGGAAAGAAAATACGGGGAAGAAAATATCCATGGGGAATTGCGGAAGGTATGTATGGATCTCTGAATCGAAGTAATTGCACAAAAATTTATCACTGGAGAAAAAAAATTATTATTTAGATCTACAGAACTTGTCAAGTTTTTATACCTTAAAATTTTTGGTTAAAAAGAACGGTACGCTATACTCCATTTTATTCTTGTTATATTTTCAGTCTATTTCTTTACGCACTTTTGCGCTTTTTATATTAATATAAAATTAGTATGTATAACAGTAAATAAATTAAGAATTTAAAATTTGAATCTTAAAAATACGATCAGCATATTTTTCCTGCATATGCAAATTATATATCGTTTATTTATAATTCGCTTTCTTTTCATTTCCACGCGCAGTCGAGAATCTGGAACATTGCGACTTCATTGCGCTCCGAAACATGGTAGTAAGGACGCACGTGCAGGACTTAAAGGACGTGACGAACAACGTGCACTACGAGAACTTCAGGTGTCGCACATTGGCCGGTCTAGGTGTAGACGGCAAACCGACAAAGGCCTCGAATAAGTAAGTAACATTCGTATTTGATTTCTCGTCACACAGTTTGATCACTTGTACTAGAATAGTTTTGTCGAAAAGTAGATGTGTCTTGTCCTGTCGAAATAGATGAATCGAGCGTCATGACCTAACAGAGAAGAGAAAACGAGAGTAGTTACCTATCTCCTTAAATTAATTCGATCGTTCATCACTAGAGTCAAGTGATAAAAACTGCAGGCCCCGGAAACATGTATCTCATAATATGACAGCCGTTCAGTCTCATAATGCGGTCCAATTTATTAATTCCACCTGTCCCCAGTGGCGCAATATTAATATTATTGCCGGACGCGATAAAGATGACGGGGCGACTACTTATCTCCTTTAGTCGGGCCCGCACGTTAACGACGCTCGCTTTTTCTATTCGAAACACGAGCAAGGTTGTTTGTTTCGTTGAGTTTGATTTGAGCACGCGGTGTGTGTCTCACCGAAGCACTCGACTGTGTATGCGTGATGAGATGATCGTTTATTTCGAGCTTCAGTATCACCAATATAATATACGACGCTGTGGTTCTTGCGAGTCGATTGGCGTGTACTGTCCGAATACATGCTTGCATACCACCACGGTGTGTTGTTTCTGGTCTTTTCATTCTTTTTCTTTTTTTCTTTATCGTCCTGAAGAGAATTCAGAGAAAGGTTGTGCATGCAAACTCTATCGAAGGCCCCTCCCAGTGACTCTCGCGTTCGAATTATCTTAGCCGTATCTCGATCGCGAGCGGGAAACTGTATCTGTAGACTAGACACGAGAAACGCTGCCGAGGGAGCGGGAGGGACGAACGGACCAACCGACCCTTCGACAGCGTGTCGCCCGTGCGAATTTTAATGGTGAATTTCTTATTGGTCAGTTTGTGCCCTCCAGGAGTGATGAACAGTTTCATGACGGTGTGGTAAGTCCTTTAATAAGGCTCAAAAAGATATACTATGGTTTTGTGTGCACAAGCCTTGTCGAGTTTCGAAACTTTTCCCCCGTGATCTTTCAATCTGGGAGGACTCACTGCGCAAAGTATTGGAAGCGAAAAAATTAATAAAAGAATGGTAGAAAAAATTAATGGAAAAGACATCGTACGCCCTAAATCTGCAATTTAATTGGTTTTTATGTCGGGAGAAATAATTAAATTGAAATGTTAATTTAATTATTTCAGTTTATAATTTATATAACAGTCATGCAAATTTTTATTTCATTTGTATATTGCGAGAGATCGATCAAGCGTAGTTATATTTGATATGCTCAGTGAGCCCTCCGCGATAATATCCGATGCAAATTATTTGTATGCTATTTAGAAAAAGAAACTAATTAGTACATTAGATTAGAATTTTCTACTTTGAACGTAACACGATTTAGGTTTGCTTGACGCCTTTATATTTATGTGCGTTTTCTTTTGCATTAGTATTTGGCACAACACGTAACGTAGTCCTCTTAAAAAAGAGGAAGCACTCTAGAAACCTATAGCTACCCTTGCAATATCTTTTATACTATCTAAATATATTGTGGCTTTAGAAATTTCGCTGTGACAATCTTTCGTGTAAGAGCCCTGATTTGCGTATAAAAAAGAATTTGATATTGCAAATTGATGATGAGAATTGGTGGTGACGAAATGCTCTTGTATTATTATAAACTCCGAATGCGCGATATAAAATCGTACACCTCACGTCATGTGTAATGATATGATTTGCACAAATTTTCGCGACAAACGGAATGTAATCGGATCTCGTGGATTTGGAGCAACGTTTTAATTGCCATGATACAATAATGTAAACCAATTATCATTTGTAATTTGCGTAACATTGATTCGATGCAAATCCGGGCTCCAGTATTTAGCCCTTAACTGATTACGGTCCCAAAGCACTTACAAGCTTACCGCCGACTATCTATTCTATCTATTCGCGTTATCAGAAATAGTTTTTCTGCTGTTATTTTTTTTTAGCTATCTCTCGCGACAAAGAGCACATTTATGGAAAATATGAGTGTCTCTATTTCTTGGAATATTCGTCATTACCGGACGCGCAATTTTTCCACGATAATGCCACGTCAGTTAATGCGATTTACTGTTATCTCTTTGCAGCATCACGTAATCACTACTCATAATAATATATCAACTCATAATAATTATATTATTTTTATATTAATGTAACAATTGCAATTGTAGTTGATTAAAATTTTTAATTAATTTCTTGAAGAAAAAGTAACCAAAAAAGTTTACTTCTAAAATTAAAAAAATAAAATTCCAAAATTTGTATTGTACTGCAAAGAGCTAACGAGATGTCATATGATATCAAACACGGTAGTGCGCTCATTAACAATTAGCTATAGGGCCGAAAGGCGCCTAAATGTCACACGCGTCATCCTGCATCTGTATTTCCGGATGATCCGATATCCGATAATTTTATCAATTGAATAGATATTTTATTTTGAATCCGCTTGAATCTTTCTAGGAACCCGTTGGCGCAGCTGGAGGAGGAGAAGCGTGAACACGATAACAAGATGAAGAAGATGGAAACGGAGATGGAGCAAGTTTTCGAGATGAAAGTTCGCGAAAAGAGGCAGAAGTTGAAGGATTCCGAAACGGATGTAAGTAAAGCGTGCTACTGATGTTACTTCTTTTTATCTTTAAGATTATAAAAAAACTCGGGGATTGAAAAAAACTCGAACTATCAGCTGTTTCATTACTGGTTATTATTTAATTAAGTGGAAATGAATTTAGCATTTAAAAAGACAGTTTCTACTCGGTCAAGATCCTTTTTTGCTCCGACACGAACTTTTATGTGTTTTTTTACGCATTGTATAACAAATCGTAATTGTCCGAGCAATACTAACGTTGCGATACCGGGAATTTCGATAACAGTTGCAGAGAAGGCACGAACAAATGCGACGCTCGTTGGAGCAGCAGGTGCGAGAGCTGGAGGAGAAAAGGCGAGCGTTCGAGGCGGAGAAAACTGCCTGGGAGCAGCAGACCGGCCACAGTATTGAAGAATTGCGTAGACGCAGCTTAGAGGCGAATTCGAAAGAGTAAGTAGTCCGCATCGACGAAAGTAAAAAGAGGAGATGTTGTGTTTTTTGCATTTTCAAACGTTTATTTCTCCGTTGTGTCTCAAGGAAGGTACATCGTCGTTTCTCGCACGAAATATATATATTTTTTTTGTTAGAAACGTCTTTATATATTTTTTTTATATTCCGCTTTATTCTGTTTTTTTTTTTAATTTTATTTTGATCGCTAAACACGATTGCGAACGATCAAACGAGGCAGTTGTATACCGCTTGATGCTTTAGCCGCTGGTGATTTAGTATGGTTCTCGGAGTTGTTTAGACATCCGGTTTGACTTGCGCAAAAAGCACTCGGCGCAATTAGAGTCTGACGCAGCTTGATAGCTTTCTTGTACACTATGTTCTGCCACCGTATCTTCTTCCGCCTGCAGAGATCGTTTATCAAAAACGCGGAGTCGAGTTTGCCGTCGACGAAGATCGCGACGAGATCTCGTTACGGAAGCTATTTGATATCATTGAAGAAAATTCGATGAATTGAGATTGTCAAATGTAAATCAGTAGTACTTCATTCTTCGTTTCAAATGAACTTAAAATAGCTTTAATTTGTGAGTGTCTATTTTAATGTGAAGCTCTTTTATTGTAATATTTTTTTTGTCAAAAAGAAAAGAGATAAATTCATATTAAAGGAAAGATACGGTAGTAAATATACATATTGTGCAATATTTGCTCTCGCTGTAGTATTTCATAGCCGCTAATACGTGTTTAGATTTTGATGTGCAATTTAATAGTTGTCGCAACCGCAATACATTCCATTCACGCTTTACGTCCCTTTACACCCCGAATCACTTTCACGAAGCTTGCACTAATAACGGAATAATCATCGTTTATCGACTCGACTCGTAAGATTATCGTCGCCGAACGAATTTTGTTTTTACATTTTATATTCACGTGATATTGTCCGCACATGTATATATTATGACTTTTATTCACATAATTATCGCGCGTTTAGCGCTGAATGAGGCTATACAATTTTTTAAGTTACAATAAAATATTAGATAGATTATTAAATGTGTGATATTAAATATGTGATATTAGACGTTAAGAGTTTTCTTTTTAATTCAACACAATTGTTTAAAAGACGTCGGAAGGCGTCCGAGGAACATCTTTGTATTAATCAGATCCGACACAAGCACATTCAGCGCTAAATCGCCGCCGACGTTGCTGCACCGTTCCCGCGAAATCCGAAAGAGACGGAAAACTTCATCGTGCAAAGAACGTCGGCGGCGTTCTCCAGGGCACCGTTCAGTATTCCGTTGATCTCTAATTGCGCGGAAGACACGTAGACTTAAGTCCGCGCGAGTACTTTTTTTTTTTCTTTACATCCGAACTTGCTATCGGATGTACGTTCGCCAAAAAAATAAAAAAAAATAGTCCGGTTTGTTTGTCTCTCTTGTGTGTATACCATATCGGGATATCCTCCTGATCTAGGACGGGATCGATGTCCTCCGAGGGATCTGGAGGCGGCGGGGGTACGTTGAGGGGGTCCCGAGGGATAAGCAGCCTCCTTCGCCGTCACACCAGTTTCAAATCACCTCAAGACAGCCCCGCACAGATACAGCTTGTCATACAGCATCCTGAGCACCCTTAGTAGAGACCGCCTCCCAGACCGCTCTCGCTCGCTTGCGAGACCCGTACCGAAATCGCCGCGCCGACACCTCCTCGCGCTCGACCCTTATCAACCCTTATCCAGTTCAGATTGCCCTCTCTTCTGAGCGGCGACGCGATCACTCGACGAACATTTTCTTGGCTTGGTGGTAGGAGTGAGAATCAAAATAATTTGGATTAGTCAGTGGCTCAAATCAAAATAGCAGAATCGAGAAAGGAAGATCTTTTATTTTTCGAAAAACGTTTTACACACGCGATATCGATCGTCTGAATAAGGGTTGACAGGAGGCCTTGTCATATTCGAGGAAAAGTAAATGCTACCTATCAGAAAGTCAACGTTACTTCAGTAAATTTCACAGCATCGTCAGCGTTTGTTTCAGCAATGATTAAAGGCAGAAACCAGAAGTCTCTTTCTTAAATCTTTTCGAGTGATATTATCTTTGTTATTTTCGTGCAGTTGTTTTCGTCTTTTCAAGGCTCTTAAATTTTCAGCGGATGTCAAATTCTTTTATCTTCAAAATATATAAATTTTTAGATTTGGTGATTTAATATAAATGCTTTTTATACTAAATTTTTTTAGTAAATTTTGAACTAAATTGATCCGAAAATTGATACCGCTCGTCGCGATAGGCTGCACTTACTCGTCCCGACACGCGTGTGCGTGCGGCTCGTTTAATCCGTTTGATACATATCGCAATCCAAAGCGACTGTACATTTCTTGCGTCCCGCGAACGCCGTAAGGGGCATCGCACGACACGAGACATGCGTTTACAAGCGCGATTCAGTGAATCTCCGTTCGCTACTTTATACTCGATTTTCTCGCGTTTCAACTTCGCTCGCCGTCGCCGTTTCATTCGCGCGTTAATTGATCGTTATGTCGACGACCCTCGCCGGGAGACGTTGCGTACAACTCCAGCGTACATACATTTAAACGCTAATTAAAGCCGAGGAAAGTGGGATTGGAGTGTCCTGGAAAACATGGAAATCGCGCGGAGACGGAGTTGCATTCTTGGCCGAAGTTGAAGTCAGTTTCTCATGCTGTGCGAATATTTAATTAGCGAGTCCATCTCTGTAACCTGAGCGGCCTGTTTAGCATGCACTTGCCAAATTAAGGCTCCGAGGAGAACGTTTTCGCGTTTCCGGGAACATGCTGAAGTTTCAATTAGTATCTCTTGTTTTGGCGGAAGTTCAAGCAAGACGGGGCCCGATCGTCTCGGCGGTGTCTGATTAGCGGTGAATTAACTGACAGAGCGAGAATTACCGCAGAATCGAAAGGAGCTCTCGTCGCGTCGAAGGTCCAAGTCAAGAAAGTTTTCGGCCTAGAAAGTTACGGAAAGTTAAGGAAGTCACGGCGCCCAAGATGAATTCTGTCTCAAATTTCCTAACGCGAGACGCGCGACCTCGCGTCCCAGCCGGTTTCCTCGTTTTCCCCGGGATATCATCTCCAGTCTGGATTCCTCCACGTTGTAAAGTTACGCGTGTCTCGCGTTACACGATGCATACGTCCTTAGAAGCGCGACTCGTTACACTCGCCTGTTTCACTCGCGAAACGTCCCCGTGCGTGAAAATCACTTTTTTCTTTTTTTCCACCGCGTTTTTCGTCGCCGTATCGCGTGCACGTAAATGCGGCGTACTCGGGCTTGCGCTCCCCGGTAAATCACGGTCTGGGCGATATGCAGCGCACACGACTTATTAAGTATATAAAAATATATATATATATATATAGAGAGAGAAAGAAAGAGGTATATCAGCGATATGTACATTTAGCAACGTATTTTTGGCACTTGAACTTTGATAAACTACGAGAATTGTATGTAAAGAAGGCGCAAAATTGTGTGTGTGTGTGTGTGTGTGTGTGTGTGCGTGTGTCACACTCGTCCTCGTGTAGGAGTGTCATTTTTTTTGTACTCACGTCTAACACACATTTTACATACAACGCATACACGTGCACACACTTTAACCCTTTACCGCATCGCGTGCCATAAAATCAACGTTCCTTTTCTCCCTGCCGACAGTGTGGTTGTGCCACATCACGCATCCGTGTCACGTTCGTTCCCGATCATACTTAGGTATTCATACCGCTGTGTCTGTTTGAGCGTTCTCTCGAGCGTTGACATTCGCAAAAGCGCGGCTTTATCGTCGCTCACGGCAAACGAGCTGTATCTATCGCATTTTCCGTCGCATTCCTAACTTCCCGCCAGATCAATATTTCGCGAGATAGCATGGCGAAGGTAAGTTGGCCCGTCTGTCGAGTGCGTGCAGTAGAAACGTTATGAGACAATATTACACGTTCTTCGAGAAGTTTTCCTCTTGTCTGTCGGTGAGAAGAGTCGCGAGACAGTGTTCGAACATTTTTATCGCAGGAAGAAAAAAACGTTCTAATCGCGAGAGAGAGAGAGAGAGAGAGAGAGAGAGAGAGAGAGAGAGAGAGAGAGAGATGCGCGGTAAAGGGTTGACATAAACGGCCACCTCGTAAGCTCGCGCCAGAGTTTGTGAAGTCTCAAGCCGATTGTAAACTCTAAGCAAGCTGTCGGCGTCATCCCGTTTCGGGATTTTGCTCTTACCACAATCGTGTTTCCCGTTTATCGCTCCGCGATAACGATTGCGCAAAAGTATAGATGCCGTAAGCTTTAGATTGCTCGCACACGAACGTTTCGTTTCGACGAGTCTCTTCCGAATCGCGGAGGTTCGATCCCAAAGAGAGAGGAAGCAGAGACAGCTTGGTAGAGGATGTAACCGCCTATTACTAATAATCACTCGCAAATTATACATTGTTAATTTCGTAATTGATAATCTTTTTTTTATCTCTCGCAAATAAACGCAATGCTTACCTAAAACCGTTACTAACCGTTTTCAGCGTCCTCTTGTTTACCGATTGTTTAGCTTGTCGGAACGTTTTTGCGACGCGACGAAGGAAAATTGCGATTCGCGAATTTGAAGGAAAAGAAAGAAAAAAAATGAATGTTTTAAAATGTACGGAAATTCATGAAAAACGAAACGCAATTTTCCCTCATCGTTTTTTTATTGCGTGCCATATCCTGTCATGTGCGCATAATGTCTTTTACTGTTCCATCGCATATCGTCATTTTAAATCCCGGCTTTTCATACAGCTTTTGATTTTTTTTCTAATAAAATATTTCACGCGCGCACACATAGTAAATTGAACCTTGAGCCGGCGCGAGTAAATAACGTGCAAGCGAATTTTCAAAAGCAGAACGTCTTTTCAAATTCACTCGCGTTTTCCTCTTCTCCCTCTTTTTTCTTCGAGGGGACATTTCATTAAAATGACGATATGTTAACGCGTGTGCAACATGCACCTGTGCAGTTTTACATAAAAATGTTGAAGAGTCCGAAATATCATGAGGCACAGAACGACCTTCGTATACCTTTGTATGTTCGCGAGAAAATACGGAAACGATACTGCGGAAGAGAATTAAAACAAAAGTCGGAAGCAACGGAGCACGAAGCGGAAAAGCGCTTGATTTCTGGACACACACATGTGAGATCAGCATGCTCCCCCTGGTCGCGAGCAGAGGATGGGTTCGAAAAGCATGGTTTTCGCATGAATAGATCTTTTCATTCGCAAGATATTTATTTTTGCATTACAGTATGCGAATCCCCGAGACGGTAACAATAGGCATAACAATATTTGCATAACGTGATACGTAACTAGTAGTCGCGTCTCGCTTCAGGCATTTTAACTGAGGCAGTCGACGTTTTCGGATTTCGACTTCCTGCATTTCTGTAGAAAGTATGCAGCGCGATGTAAGATATTAAATAAACTGAAATTTTTCTTATGAGATAAAAGTAGGGCCATTTAAACATAAAAAAAAGAATAAATATCCGTTCGATGCAATATGAACAGAAGTATATTACCTATTTTTTATATATAATTATATTATTTCGAGACACTTAAAAATGGCCATGAAATTCTCATGCAATTATAAAAAGGACGTTATTTGGAAAAGAATTAATGTAATTGTAGTGCACACATCAGCAGCGTTAAATTTAAATTATTTTTCATGCCAATTGAATTTGACTTTTCGATATCACGAACGGAGACGGGTCGAGGACTTCATCGAGATCACTTCCGCTTTCGTCCTCATCTCTCATCATCGAACGCCCCCGTGTCACGCGTACGCCGATTATCGGAAAGCGTCGAACGGTGTGCCAGCTAGGATTCGCGCGACGCAGACAATAATCTTGATATGAAAATTCTCCTTTCAGGGCTGTTGACGGTAAAGATAAGAAGAGCAAGAAGAAGGGCCTCTTCTAATCGTCGTGTCGATCGGCAAGAAAAAAAAAACAGACGGGAAGAAAGAGAGCAGGGCAGGAACAATCCGGTGTGGCTGTGTCGCACTTTCGGCCACGCTAATTTACCGAAGACGAACACACGAGTTAGGTGTAGCTTCGATCAGCGATGAGCTCGACATACGGGGGATCCTCGGAAGAACCGACGATTCCTCGCCGCGTGCTCGAACGGACACTACGAGATCTTGAACGCAAGATCGATTAGGTCGCGAACAAACTGCGGTATCCCCGTCGATGCAGATTGTTCTGGGCCGCGTCGAGATTCATGTGGATGTCCTGCGTTTCATTTCGTTATTCGCGATACCTGATTCGTCGTGCGAAGCTACGACAGAAAGAATGAAAAAAAGAAAGAGAACATTTTCCTACGACGAGAAAATGTGCCCGCCTTGCGCTCTTTCGCGCTTCCTATTTCGGCATCCGACAGGAAAGAAAAGGAAGAGAGTAACGAGGAGATGCACAATCATCCTTATGCGCTCATCAAGCGTTCAATCGCGATCGTCATTTACTTCACGATAACAACTGTACAAAAAAAAGGAACCCACGTAGACGTAATTTTTTGAAGAACGTAATTTTCGTACTTTCCTCGGCGCGAGTTAGCTCCGTTTAAGCTTATGTATCTTTCTTTCTCTAACGAGAACGTCATGTTCGCCGCCCTCCGTCGATTATACACGTACGTTAGTTTTTACGACTGGACAGAGAGTTCAGGGATATTCGGGCCATATCAGTATGTCGCAATTAGGACAATAGAGCGTCTTGCGTTTTGCGTTTTGAAAGAGAGAGAGAGAAAGAGACCAGAGCATTATACTTCCGTCAAGTACGATAAGTTCGATCACTGTGGTGTTCTTAAATTATATTGTTGCAATTGTAACTGCAACCATACAAAGTACCCTAAAAGTGTTTCAGGTATCTTTGTTCTATCATTGATTTCGAATTCTTTACAAAAATATCAAATATTTACAAAAATTGTAAAAAGATTTTCACAGGTTAAGCATAAAGAAATATGACATTTTATTGAATTAATTTATTAAGAAAATTTTTATAGTTAGCAGTGACGGAACTTAAACGTTAAAAAATTATAAAGAGACGTGTGAAGACTTATTAAGTATATGGTTGACTTTGCACAAACCAGAAGTTCACAATAAATTCAATAAGTCGAGGAAAATTAGCTTGTAAGTAAGAATTATTGAGAGATAATCATATAATCTTTTTATTACATTATCACGCGAGTAGCATCTCCTGTCGCAGAGGGAGGCTGAACATGATATCGCACAAAAAAACAGCGGCCATATATTATATAAATATATATATTTATGTATAAATAAAGAGCGAGGGGAAGCGTAAATGTAAGTCTAATTCATGTACATGTACACGTAAGTCACGCCTCGCGACAGGCGCGAAAGAGCGATTACGATAAAAGAACGGATCATTGTATAAATAATAAATCTAGATGTGCTGGACTACCGCGAGATTTGAGACGGTGCGACTTTTTCTTCCTTCGTTCTTCTTGCATTGAGGCCGCTTGAACTTCTTTCTCTTATCGCGGCTTAAGTGCTACAAGCTTTACTTTCGGAACAATAATTTTTCTACGTAATTACAGCTTCTGAGTTTCGAATCGGTGTAACGTCGACAACGCAGAGTATTGTAACTGTGACTCTTTAGAGCTATTAGAATTATTTGTACGATGTAATTTTCTTCACGAAAATGTCTTTAAATAAACTACAGCGAGCTGTTGAATAAATATAAAACTACGCGGAAAAGGACTGTTTACGATATCTCTTTGGGGCGTATTATTGATAAAGTAACGTTTAGAGACGCTCGGAAATACCCCGAAGTGCAGTTTATCGGTCGGTGTGTCGTCGACGTTTACACTCACGACAAACGTTTACACTCGCGCCGTCTGGAATCCGTCCACGTCGATATGTTTAGGAGATAAGATTAAGTTACTTCTGTGCCAAGACGAGCGAGGGAGTGAGCATTTTTGTAACGCTGTAGCGGTCTCTTTTGGTTACCGCGAGATGAAGCACACGGTATTCTCCCCGGGAAGATTTGGAAAGGAGAGTAACCCGTTTATCAAATCCCTCGACGGGCGTCACGAGAAAACCCCGAGAATAGTCGATTTCGTTTCCTTAACGGCCAGATTTATGTTAGTAATTTGGCGTATTGTTTGACGACACGTAATTTATTATTCGATCTCATTAAAGATCCGTTCTTTCCAGTCGCGCTTCCCGCTACTTGTTTTTTTCTTCTCCGTAATATGCGAATATATTTGTTTCACGTTAAGTACTGGAAGCGTTATAAAAAAAAAAATAAAAAAAAATCGCGACTGAAAGGAACAGATCTGCAAAACGATACGGAGGCCAGTAAAAATTGTCGCTCGACGATTGTCCATTAGTTGCTCGGTAAAGTGTTTTGTTTTACCACGCTTCCCCCGTTTCCTTTATCTCACGGGGGATAGAATTTGAGAAACGAGCGTACGCCACATTCCTATTTTGTACGCATTTTTTCTAATTATGCTCGCCGGCTCGAGCGCGTTTAGCCCAAGATGTACGGCTATCCAATCTCCCGTTCGCATCTGACGTGCGTGATCGCGAACGATCGCGAAATCAAGCGGTCGTGTTCAGTGCCATTGGAAGCTCAAAAAGTATAAGCCTGAGAGACGCGAGAAACGTCCCGAGAGAGACGGTCCAAGGGATGAGAGGAGGACAATGTCGCTCTTCTGGATACGTTTTTTTACTTATCTCCTGGGGATTCGCGCTGTCGACCGAGGCTTTGTCAGGATCCGAGGCGGTTTCTGAGAATCGGTGTACTTTTGAGATTTGAATTCGAGAAAGCGAGCAACTCTTCGTGAGCAACCGGTCCGTCTGAACGTTCTGAGCGAGAATCTATAATCAAACTGGAAGACTTGAGGCTGCGAAGACATGCAAGAATCGAAGAACGAGTGAAATAGAGAGAGAGAGAGAGAGAGATTAGATTCTCACGCTTTCAAATATTTTGTATCGCCAAGTCGCAGATAAAGCGGAAAGCGTAAAGGATCAAAGTTCTACGCAGATACGCAGGGTGTTTCAGGTTAAACTTAATGGCCGTACGCTATCTAAATGATTGTGATAAGAGAAACTTATCTACAAGTCTAATTTGAAAAGTTTCTAGAGAAAGTCGGAATTTACAATTACTAAATTCTTGAAGAGAACCTCGTCGGATCATGTAACGACAATAGCGCAATTAAATATCCGCGTCAATTAATTACCGCAATTAATTTTCAATTCCATAAAATCTTAATGAGAGTTAAAACTCGTTTGTAATTAAATACACGTAACACTTCCAAATCGGTGTCAGTTTTGACACTTTCTACTTAACGGCGTGTTCTCCGAAAGACGGTTTCTCCTGGAAGGCCCTGTCGTCGCGTCGCAGGTCTTCGCGAGGACCGGCAGTCGATTGTACTTAATTGTCGCACAAATTGCCGCCTGATAGCGCTTCTTTTTTGCAACCGCGCCGAGGATGACGTCGAGCCGGACGGGGCGGGGAGGGAAGAGGAGAGGACCTCGCTTAAGGCCGCGGGAGGCCAGCTGGGTTATTATCGATAGACTATGTGTATTTCTATGGACGATGCTTGTAATACGGTTTTAAATGGTTACTCGTAGGATCATCGCGATTGCGTTCGTTCCGGAACACGGGATGGGATGGGAAAAAGAGAGTGGCGTGGGTGGGGCAGAGGGTGGCGAAGGGGGATAGATAGACGAAACAAATTATATATTTTGTGCCGTGCCAGACGAAAACGAAAGCTGCCGCCGCTAATCGTAGACCAGTTGTAATAACGACTCACTATTGTATCGCGACGAACACTTTAGAGTATGTATCCAAGTAAATTATATATAAAACTATATAAAAAAACAGCCGGGGTGATCGTCCGTCATTGTCGCATTCCCGCGAGTCTTCCCACTGATCCCGCACACAGTACAGCACGGCAGCCTACTCGATCGATTTATTCTTATGGAAGGATTTTCGGGACAGTCGACCTCGAATTAGTCAGCGGACAGGAGGATGAGTCAGTGAAAAGATAGGAATTTTCCGTCAGCAACACACACAGGTATATAGTAATTGTCGAACGCGTCTGTTATCGCTAACAAAGTCCAATTAACTTGAACTCAAATTATTTCTTTATCTAACATCGAATATGACAGAAGTTAGACTTTGTACGTAAAATGAATATTTTTATATGACGTTATTTTTATATGGCAGAAGTTAGACTTTGTACGTAAAATGAATATTTTACGTACAAAGTCTAACTTCTGTCATATTCGATGTTCTTGTGGAAAATTCAATTTTCCACAAGAACATCGAATTCAAATATTTTAGTTACAGTAGCAATGCTGTATAGTCAGTGGACATTAAATAAAATTGACTATTTATCGATTAACGAAATTCAAGAAAAAACGAAGACACATTCAGTAATTTTCTGTGTTATAATTTTTTATTAAAAAATAGTATGGATAGTAATAACATTTGTAATAATGTTCTAACTTATTTCAACGATGTGATTACCGAATATTAAAGTAAGATTGACTATCAATTAGCTTTCGATCGAGCGAGAAAATACGAAGAGATATAAACTTTTAATAATTTCGTTTCGATATTTATTATAGTTTATCGTTTTTGTATTATAAGTTTTTCTAAAATAATGCTAACATCCTCAGTAAACATTTCGAATAGCTGCGCGAGGACGCGATAAATATGTTAATATTTATCGTATCCTCGTTGGACTTTCTCTCAGCAGGATAAGATGGATTGTGCCTGGGATATTTTCATTGACAGCATGAGTCGAGGGGGGAAGCCGAGACCTACGAGCTGATCCCGGCATCGTCGGAGAAGGCTTTGCATTCTAGGAATTCCTTCTTCCGGCCTGCTTTTACTATTTCTCAACGCCGGCCTCCAGCTAGTGGAAACCGCACGCCAAGAGGAACGGCGGTGTGTAACGGAAAATATGGAGAACACCTGGGTATATTAAATATCTTTTTGTGCACGTGTGTGATTCATGTATACGCACACGCGCGCACACGTGCGTGTTACACCTCATGACAGGCGAAATTCTTTGCTTTCGTGATTAGCTCCGTTTTTACGCCGCCGTTTCTTTAACGTCCGGCCTCGTGCGTGTGTTTTATGCGAACTCGGGAGACACGAGAACGAATAAACGAACTCTCGCGAGCGAGTAGCGCGCCGCGAAAATCACGAATCCGAAGAGACGAACGGATATTTTTAAGGGTTGCTACCTTCCCGCGATTAGCATCCGCGAACGGATGCGAACACGATGAATAAGTATTTTGACGTAAACGATGAACTCCGAGAGAGTTGTCACTTATTTGAAAATTTAAATTATTACTGCATCGACGTAATTAGAGCGATTTCAATAAAACTTCGATAAACTTTTAATCGTATTCATCTCATCATTATTAAGCAATTAAGCATCTATTTTGTTGTAATGCAGATTTATTTTTTATTGTTTCCTCATAAATAAGAGAATGGGAGGATGGATTACGTTATTAGAAATTATATTTTAAGCGATATATTTTGCAATTTTCATCAAAATAATAGAGAATTAAAATTAATAAATAATAAAGGGTCTAAAGAGAGAATTTCGGGCCTCGCGCGTAATCGAACGCGTCAAATTGGTTGAGTCTTTTGAAATAAAACTTGGCATACGAAATTTTCTTCAAGGTGAATATTTTGATCGATACCCTATAAATAATTGATTACGCGCGAAATCCGAAGCCACCTTCTTAATTCGCTTGATAAAATAAAATAAAAAGTTTATTTATCTTTCAGTTCATATATTATATATTCATTCGCGCTGATTCTTGATTCTCGATCTCCGTGAAGGATCTGAAGGACAACCGATGTCTTTCAAAAAATATATATGATCGGACCTGTTTTTTTGGCGTCGACTTTTTCGAACGTATATCTGTTTATATCTGATTACGTGACTATCGAGTTTTAAAGAAATTATATAGCGCGACTACGAGAAAACTGTTAGATCGTTATATTTGTTGAATTGCGCGTAATCATAAAACAGACAGAATGCTGACAGGACATTCGTATGTGTGAATGCATGACACGTGTGACACTCTATGATAAATATATATGAAAAAAAAAAAATAGAAAAAAGGTCGGAATTCTGATGTCGCACATACAATCGGGGTTAGACGAACATCCTAATTTCAAAGTCTATTGTTGAGCGTTATATTGTCGATTTCTTATGGAATTATGGAGAATTATTTCAGCCGTCGAATAAAAATAAATTTTTGAACATTTCTAACGAAGCTATAACTGGCTTTTATCTCTCATAACAATAAATATTTTTCCGATATCTACCATACATGTACAATTCTGTGTTTACCAAATTCTACTAAAGACGAAGAGGCAGCTTTTTGTGTTTTCGACGGGTTTACAATAAATTCACGAACGTGTATTGTCGTTTGATTTGCGTATCGCGATAAGATGACCATTCTGCATTCAAACATGCAATGCATTTGCTCGCACATTTATTATACATTCATTCATTCATGCATTCACATATACGAATGTCCTGTCAGCATTCTGTCTGTTTTATGATTACGCGCAATTCAACAAATATAACGATCTAATAGTTTTCTCGTAGTCGCGCTATATAATTTCCTTAAAACTCGATAGCCACGTGTAATCAGATATAAACAGATATACGTCCGAGAGAGAAAGTCGACGCCAAAAAAGAAGGTCTGACGGCAAGAAATAAATTCGAGAAATACAGAAACTTGGGACCGTTAAGTTAAAAAATTAAAAAAAACAGAAGAAAAGTAACAAATGTATTATATTATAGTTTGACGCATCGATAACTGAAGTAATTACTACTGATGAGTAGTACTTATATTTGGTTTTTAATCTTTGCGCTTATGACATAAACGGCCGTTATCTCGCCAGATCTATCGGAATACGTATGCCAGAAGCAAAGGTAGTAATGCAAAATTAGTTATTTCTTTTCTGCATGTACTTTTTTCTCCCTGTTTATTACGAGAAAAAATTTTATCGAAGAAATAAAAATAAAAAAAAGTCCGTCGATGAATTCTATATATACTGAAATCGAAAATGCATGTTTTTTTTTTTTTCGATTACATCACTAAAGACGCGTGGCTCTTGCGTCGCCGGGGGCGATGTTCACGGCCGTTCTCTCGCGCGTGTAACGAGACTTTTTACGTCTCTCTATACTCTCATTGCGATCACGATGAACCCCTCCCGAGGATCGCGTCACCGGGAGAAAGATAAGCAAACGGTCGATAAGAATCTCAAGCAACGCTGTCGTGTCATCCAAAGCATCATTCTTCTCGACGGGGTGTTGAGCAAGCCGGCGCGGCGCTCCAGCTATTATTCATTCGCGACCCCGTGACCCGCTGATCCAGTCTAATCGGCCCGTCTAGCTCGCGGGTACTCGGAATGCGAGCTCGGCGTTTATTATCGATCGCGCAAATTCCCCGAGAGTATTGTCTTCTCGGTAAACAGCCCGATAAATCGTCATGCAAGAATCCGAGGTCTCTCCGCGAAATTCGCGAGCTCCGCCAGCGGCGGTCGGCGGACCAGGCGCGGAGGACCTTTGTCCCGTCACTCCCGTCCCCCACCGCGTCGCGGCGGCCTAGAGAAATGGCACGATTGCGCGCCGCGTGCGCATTCGCTCGCGAGAGCCCGACCGTGCGTGAACTCCCCTCGTCGACGCCGCGAGTACCACGTGTGGAGCAGACGAGCGCGAGCCGCTGACTGGCCGACTTAACGGGAACGGAGGTGCCGTCGCGCGGGCTTCGAAGCACGCAATCGAAAGCGACGCGACGACCGGGATTTTCACCGAGCCGCGAGCGGAGTTTCACTTCTAACCTGAATTCGGCGAGGAGCGGGTGTGCGTATACGTGTGTGTCGCCACGGCCCGTATCAAACGACTTGTCATCATCGTCATCATCGTCATCATCATCATTTTCGTCGAAGGCTACGCGGAAGGCGCTACGTGAGCACGATACTCCAGGGAACATCGCGGAAGCACGTTCGCGTGCGGTTACGGTTCGATTGCCTGTGTGTTGTGGTGAGTTCAGTAGGATCAAAATATTCATGTCATCACGCGAGAAAATAGCACAGTAATTAATCAGCATCAATTGACAGGCACTTCGACTGTCGCCAGGGTGATTACGTGAACCTCGCGGGGAAAGAGGAGAGAAAGAGGATCATCGTTTTCAAAGCACTTGCCGCACGACTTGACAAGATGTGGCCAAAGGACGTCGGCATCCTCGCCCTGGAGGTCTACTTCCCGGCGCAGTACGTGGAGCAGACGAAGCTGGAGGTATTCGACGGCGTGTCGGCGGGCAAGTACACGGTCGGCCTGGGCCAGTCGCGTATGGGCTTCTGCAACGATCGCGAGGACATCAACTCGTTGTGCCTGACCGTTACGCACCGGCTGCTGGAGCGCTACAGCGTCAAGCCGCAGGAGATCGGCCGATTGGAGGTGGGCACCGAGACCATCCTCGACAAGAGCAAGTCGGTGAAAACCGTGCTGATGCAGCTGTTCGAGCCGCACGGCTGCACCGACATCGAGGGTATCGACACCACCAACGCCTGCTACGGCGGCACCGCCGCGCTCTTCAACGCCGTCGCGTGGGTGGAGAGCAGCGCCTGGGACGGTAGATTCGCCCTGGTGGTCGCGGCTGACAACGCCGTGTACGCCACGGGCAGCGCCAGGCCCACGGGTGGCGCGGGCGCGATAGCCATCCTGGTAGGCCCAGACGCGCCCCTCGTGTTCGACCGCGGCCTCCGTGCGTCCTGCATGAGGCACGCCTACGACTTTTACAAGCCGAACCTGCCCTCCGAGTATCCCGTCGTGGACGGCAAGCTGTCCATTCAGTGCTACCTCAGCGCCCTGGACAGCTGTTACCAGCTGTACCGCGACAAAGTCAAGAGGAAGAGCCCCGGCGACAGCCCCGTGACGTTGACCAACTTCGACGCGATGCTCTTCCACTCGCCGTACTGCAAACTCGTGCAGAAATCGTTCGCCAGGCTGGCCTTCATCGACTTCCTGAACACGCCGGAGGGTCAGATCCCTGACAGTTATAGAGACGCGATGAAATTCCACGCCGCCAAGCTCGAGGACACTTACTTCAATCAGGAAATCGAGAAGGCGTTCATGCAGCTGAGCAAGGCGGACTTCCAGCAGAAAACTCAGCCGAGTTTGCTCATAGCGAATCAAGTTGGGAACATGTACACGCCGTCGGTGTACTCCGGTCTAGTGTCGTTGCTCATATCGAAGCCGATAAGTGAATTGGCAGGCATCAAGATCGGCATATTTTCCTACGGCTCGGGCATGTGCTCGAGCCTGTACTCGTTGACGGTAGCGAGGGACACGCGAGAGGGTTCCGGCCTGTCGAAAATCATCAACGCCCTTTCCTACGTCAAGTCGCAATTGGAGGGCCGTCACTGCGCTTCCCCGGAGGAGTACACCAAGGTGCTGGCGTTGAGGGAACAAAATTGCCACGTTGTGCCATTCACTCCGCAGAGTAGTATAGACGACATGTTCCCGGGCACTTATTACTTAACGCAGGTGGACGAAAAGTATAGGAGGACTTATAAAAGAGTATGAGATATTAGATTTCAAGGTTTAGGATTGTTATAGCTAATTTTATTCTATAGAGATATATTAATATATATATATATATATATATATCACGTAGCAAGGCATAAGTAAGAATCTCAGGCACTTGTGTGATTTTAACAGAATATATTTTGATAGAAACTATTTGCGCTGAAACTAGAGCTTCTTCGTTGATTTACAAAATAAAATATAACTATTTTGCAACGCCGTGTTTTCCTTACATCGTCAATTACAAATGCTTTCAAATATACTAATTCGTCAGAATTTTAATAGCTTGTTGATACATTTACATAAATTTAAATATGACGATTACATAATCGATGTAAAAATAACATTAAAAGTGCCTTAAGTATGTAAGACTGTTTTTATACAACAGGAATTAAGTTCGGAAAATTTTTATATACATTTATGCCAATATTATTCATCTAATTGATGCCAATATTATTCATCTAAATCTAATTTTATATGCAATGAGTATAAGTTGACGTACAAGCAACAGATACTAATTTAAGAGTTCCAAATTAATCTTTGCGAACTTATGGTCAGTTTTAGACGTCTGTAATATATTTGAATTATATTATCAACCAGAATTGTCTTTTCTACCTCGCGTCATTTTATTTAATACATCTGTTAAATATGCAATATTATTTTAATAAATTTAATGCAATAAATGAATATTAACAGCTGACATTTTACGATTTTTTTTAACGTTAATTACACACGTGTATGCTAATCATATGCAGCATGTTCATTCGCATTGAAATAAACAATAAATAATTGTGTAATTATTCGTACAATTTCGCATAAATCGAACAATGATACTGACATATGAATGAATATTTATATAATTAAATCGACTGTCTCGTCACAAACAACTTTCGCGTGAAAAGACGATTAGCTTTTTATCTTTGTGATAAATATTTTTTTCAACGTGCAGTTTATCGTATTATTAATCATAGCATAGGATAAATCATCTTCGGATCTATATTTATGTAAAGCTGAAACGATTAATTTTTTGTGCGTCTGAAGATTTGTATGTAATAGGAAAAACGATTTCTTATCAGTCGGTATCTCAAACGCAAACTCGTTAAGTAATAAAACTGTTATGCTACACATCATGTATTTTAAAGAAAAATATATTTTTCAACTCTCTACATACACATTTAGTATACAATAAATATTTTTCAATTACTTCGTATGGTACAATTACTCACTAGTTTAATCAAATGTTTCGAAAAGTATTTTATAATTATATAACGACAGGGAAACAAAATAAACAAAGTGCCAATTTTTATAACACGTATATATATTTTCGATAAAACACACAAGTAAAATTTGTTTTAATAATAATCTTGCAAATACTTAGACATAATTTTGAAACATTTGATCAATCTCGTGAGACAGTATTATTGCATATTATTTCGGCGCACAATTGTATTATTTGTCTAATGTAAATTTGATATTTCGCACAATATCCCTTTCTGCACATATTCAGTTTCCGACAGTTTCATATCTAGTTACATTTATTAATCAACAACGATATGTTATACGTTACATACGGTAGCCTGTATGTATACTCATGTGTGACAAAATATTTTTTTTGTCGAAAGACGCACCGAGATAAGCAATTATAGATTAGCAAAGATCTTGATTAGCGAGAACACTTTAATTGGATGTACACGCTAGGCTTTTACGTATCGATGCTCTTATCAAAAATATAATTCCTCTCGCAACGAGTATTTCGAGAATAATACGCGCTTACGTGCAACATAAGTATAAAAAAAAATATATTACAACAATTTATATATATGTATATAAGCAATAATAGAGATTCGTTATACCTGCAGTTTGTTCGCAAATAACAATATTGTTCGTAAATAACACTCGAACGAAACGCACTCTAAATATCTGCCTACTCCCATTGCGCTTTCAGCGCTAAACGCGACACCATCCGAATTAGGTCTTTTAAATTGAACGAAGACCGAGAATCGAATAATCGCTCTTAGCGCAAAACGCACACCGGGAATGCGACTGTAGTATTAATATTTACAGCTTCCAGATGGGTGCTCGGCGATCGAGAGGTCTGACCTCACGTTCGCCGTAACAATGTTCGTACGTGCAAATAAATAAAATAAATAAAAAAGAAAACATATTAAGTTACCACTCGCAAAATTAAAATCCCCCTGTAAACTTCTCGATTACACTTCGCGAATGTCTGTGCGTTTAGCGTGTGACGTTTTAAGGCACTAGAACACTCCTCAGGTCGCCGCAGTATCGATATACGTGTGTATGCATGCGTAAGTGTGTATATGTATTTGTACGTTTCTGTTAAAATCGCATAGAAAAATATAACATATGCGCTCTTCCCGGAACAGCAGAAATTTTCGGAGCAGTGAAATGAGCCATCTTATCTTAAATAGTAGATCTTTATCGTGAGATTCGCGTTTCTCTCGAGATACGAACAGTGGATGCTACTCCATCCCGTCGCGAATAGAGAGATAATATCTTGAACTTGGCACCTGAATATCATTCTGCTGTACCGATAGAATCGCACTGAGCGCGCGTGTATTCTACTTTGTATCGCGCGCTACAATAAGACAGAGGGGCAGTGAAATTTGTGTAAAAACGTGATAAGATTTACACGATATTTTAGATAAATCCTTCGCGATAAATCGTAATAACAATTTCTATCTTTCTCAATTATCATTTTAAAAACCGTGAGATTGAAACTTCCAGATGCGGAAGGGAAATCACGCGATGTCACATTCGTCGACTGCCTCTTATCTTATCACTAGGCACTCGTTTCAGATTCGGTCGTTCGGAAGTAGTGCCCCGAAAAAAAATATATCAAACGATTTAAAATATTTTATGCGAGCAGCCTGAACAAGAAGACAGATCTCGACCGACGCCGAGCTTCACTATCTCGTCCTCGCTCGCGCTAATCTGGCGATTATCGTGTCGTCTCTAAAAACACAGTGCGATTTTTTTTAATTACGTAAGTAATTCTACAAACAAATAGCAGTCTCAATCTTTTAAAAATTACGTAAGTAATTCTTTCGCGCGAATGAATGAATGAAAGACCTCGTTTACCTTAAGTTCCGATGCCAGAAAGAAAAAGATGGAGTCTATATTTGTGTTATCTTTGGCTGAGGTCTCCACCACGTGCAAAACTTCAGGCAGATATTGGCATAAGGCTTCGGCCTCGGCTTTCTTCACCTCTCGTAGATCCTCCAGGTCGCATTTATTACCTGCAAAGCGAGAAACGCACGGAAACTGAGTAAGAATTATTGCACAATGTAACGTCTCTCATTGCGGCATGATAATTATTATAATGTTTATATGTGTATGTAGAGAATGATCGTACCAACTAATACTAGTAACACGTGCGACGACGAGTACCTCCGGACCTCTTCCACCCAACGTTGTAAACTTAAGAACGTCGATCGCTTCGTAATATCGTAAACTAAAAAAATCGTGTGTCACTTATTAGAACGACGTCGTATGTAATTTTTCAGATAACAAAAAGTATAGATAACAAAGAGAACAAAAGATACAATTCTGTCCCCGGAAAAATGACGGGAAAATATTTTTCATTAACTTTTAAATTATAAAAATAATTTAATAATTAAAAAAAATTATTTAAATTAATAATATAATACGTGTTAATAAAAAAATGATGTAGAATGTATAAGGACCTAGTACGCTACGTACCTACGATCACCCCATTTGCAGATCTGTAATAACTCTGAGTTATCGTCCGAAATCTCTCCTGTCCCGCGGTATCCCATATTTGTAGCTGTCAATAACAGAATAACAGCTTCAGTAATCATTACATATGATTTTAAGTTTGCCGGATATTCGTTTCAAGAATTTATAGCTTCAAAGATATTTAATGTAGAAAATTGTAAATTAAGATTATAATGGCAAAAATGAGCTTCTTTGTCAGGAGAAAGGTCGATCTTCAAATTGAACTATGAATTTACAGACGGAGCAGCGGAATTGCGGTAAACAGCAGTTGTTAATTCGTTTCACTGTAAACGCGGAGCTACAGCTAGAGCAAAACGGAGCAGAGGTTAAGGCCTGTTAAGCGCCTGACGCGAACGTTAACTCCGGAGGCGCGGCGCACCTTGACCCTCTTGCCGTCGATGAGGACGGTCTTCATGGTGAAGTCGACGCCGATGGTGTTGCCGTGGCGCTCGACGAACGTGCCGGACCTGAAGCGCTGCACCACGCAGGTCTTGCCCGTGCCGCAGTCGCCGATCAGCACGATCTTGAACAGGTAGTCGAAGCTCTCGTCGTCGCTCGTGCTCATCATCAGGTTGTCGGGGTCGCGGCACGACATTCTCGCGACCGAGGGGCGCTCACGCGCGGGCGAGGACTTTGTCACTTTGCGGATAACTATATCTACGCCATCGCCGTGTGCCCAGTGTCCACGGCGAGCCACGAGTCTCTTCCCAAGTCTCCCTTCATCCAGTTGCGTCCATTTTGGTCCATCTTACCCGCTGCGATCCGTATCAGCCAGCGGCGAATCGCGGGACCGCTGGATCCCCCTCTTCCCCTTCCTTTCTGTCATCCTGCTTCTCATTTCGGTTTTCCTCTCCTACGCGCGATTCGCGTTTATCTGTATATGATACGAATAAATCTTTTTTTCTCATTGTTTCAGCGTATCTCACTTGAAGCAATTATGCGAGCAAGTGAATGAATGTATAAGAAATGGAATGAAAAAAAAAATTATAAATAAGAAATAATGCGTATTATTATTTCGTAACTATTTTAAATTGAATAAAATTTTTGCATTGAAACATATAATACACATTACACATTAATGAGACTCTCAAAGCTAAAATGAATAAAAGAATCAGGAAATTGTAATAGGATAATAGCTGCGCGATATAAAAAAAATTTCAAGTATAATTGCCATTTCACATATTTTATTTCTTTCTTTCTTTTTTTACATTATATGCAAAATTAAAAAAAGTAATACAAGTTAATTTATACTATAACTCATTCGTTACAATTAATCGCTAGACAATCATAAATTTATAATACGCATAACAAAATGAGTTATAATATAGTTATATTCTACTACATGGCTGTCTTGTAAAGAACACATCAAGAAAAAACATTCTGCCTCTGATACTTTTTACGGGAAAGACCTGCGTTACATCACAAATCAAATATAACATTGTAATATTCGTATATCAAATAAAACATTCTATATAACGTATTTATACACTGTACGTTTAAAGAGTGACGTATGTAACAATATTGTTATTCTGCACGGCACAATTAAAATAAGTAGGAATGAAAAAGGAAATATAAAAAATAAGGAAGCCGTCTTAGTGACTAGTCTTCTAAAATGTTTGGGAGACAAAAATTCTAATTGTAATTTAACAGTTTATTCAACAGGAAGTTATATTTCCTCTTCACATGATAAAAATGAAATTATCGTTGATTGTAATGTAATTCCATTTTGTTTGAATATCTTTGAAATTAATCAATAAAAATTAGTATCAGGATGTCGTTTTATTAACAATTCTTATGAACTACAGTATCATAAATCGCAGGTAATGTTAATCTTAATTCCTAGAATTATTTTCTAGATGTGAACTTCAACAAGCCCTCCAATAGGCTGATGTAAGCCGTATGCTCGTAGCTCGTGCTCATCTCGATTAGTTTCTCCGCAAATTCGTTCGAAACGCCCTTCTCCTCGAGGTAGTTCATCAATAGATCATAGAGATACTGCAAAATAAATAGTATTTTATTTAATACTTTCATCTAATATAAATGAAGCTTAATCTAATTTATGTGGGATTGTCTTATCTCTGTAACTGATTATAGAAATATTAAAATTTATAGAGACAATTAAGTATATAATTGAGGAATAAAATACATGTTACACTCTTATTACAACGTACACATGGTATAAGACCATGAGTTAGTTTCATAAGAATGTTTATGATTTCCCAAAGATTAATAATCAAAGCAGCCATGATGTAGCCACTTTGAACTCAACACTTTGGAGATGATCTTTATGCGTCAAATCTTTACATAAAATTGGGATGTATTTTGACTCTTTAATTTTTGATTTAAGTGTTTGAAGTTATGTCAAAGCAATATTCTAAAAAAAGCGGAGTTAAATTTAAATTCAAAATATCGACTCTTAGATTTTTAATTCTATTATACTATATAAAAATAATTACTGTATTTATCAATTATATACTGTATTTATCAGTTATACTATTTTCTGCTATATTAAATAATTATCATATTGTAAAAGAAATAGAGGTAGAATAGAATTATTTCCTCGAAAATCATACTTACTCCGTCGAGGATTTCGCCAGCCGCGGAGTACACCTTAGTACTGTGTTCTCCTTCGTACAGCGTGATTTCATCGATACCGAATATATCATCTGTAAAAAGAAAGTTTTATTGATATTAATATTAAAATTTGAAAGGCAAATTTGAACGGGCAATGTAACAGACTACAAATGTACGTACTATAATTATCATCGGCGCCCGATGCACCAGCTTCATCGTTAAAGGAACACGTAAAGCCTAGAGTCTGATTGCCCCTCACTATGTCTACTGTAAAATTCGGCTTGCTCTTCATTTCGCCAATTTCCACATTGTCGCTATTAGGATTCATTTCTGCTTCAGATTCTGCATCCACTGTATGGTTCACATTGAATGAAATATGAATGCTGGAAAAAAATATCGTAGGTAAGATATACTGTATACGAATCAACGCTTTAAAGTATCAATATGGTAAAATTTTCTCACGTATCAGTGTCATCTTTCTTTTCAAGATTGACTTCGGCACCATTGAGGGACACTGAGAAGCCGTCTAATTTTGTTGGTATCATGTTTGTTTTCATTGTCTTCTTTTCCGCTACTATCTCCTCGGCCAGGAACTCCCCTAATTCTTTTTCCGCTGACAAAAAAAAATATAATAAAAATTACATGTATATAATCTTTATTGTAGTAGATGTATTGGCATAGCTTTAGATCACTGTACTTAAGAAAGATGTAATTGCACAGCGCACAAAGAAATTAAAATGGATTCTAAAAGTATGTATATGCGTCCACAGAATTAATCGACATTTACAAATTTAAGACTTCAGAGCGATTCTTTGTAGCTGCATATTCTATGCAGCTAAAATAGAGACATTAGAAAAAAAGAGGCAAAAAGTGCAATAGGTTCAACTATACAAAGAATATACAAGGACAATTATAGGCTGATGTAATATTTAAATTAAAGAATTTATTGAAACTCATTGTTAGACACAATAAGAAAAATAAGGAACAAGCAATTGAACATAATTAGACAAAAGATCTCATTGTCTGCCTCTGATATTTGCCTAATATTCAATCCCCTCGTCCTTATTACTTTTATTGTATCTGAGCCCTGATTGAAACTCTTCAAATATTACAGCCTACATCGTCAAATTTAATTCTAAAAAAAAATTAGAAATTCGATCTTTAACCGAAGATCTTTAAGACGAGAGGAAATAGAACATTTCGAGTCACAATTAGGATCCAAAAACGTTTTCGTTTGCGAGTGGGAAAATTTCCATCCGCGAATATGGACGACTCACATGCGCAACGCGGTTCCGGCTACAAGTGCGATTGACGCACGATCCGTTCGACACCCTCGTCGAACGGGTCAACAATACCTTTCGTATGCGATTTGCTGTAGAATCTTCGGGCGCGGAAATCATGCAACTCGGGCGTGGAGACGAGAGGCGCGATCTCGGCGGCCTGTCGGCGACCGCACACACTCCACAGGGCCCTGGCGGATTGGCCGCCGCTGTTGCCGCCGCACGAGGACGACAGCACGCCGCGGAGCGTCGTGGCGCGTAACGCGCTCCTCACGATACCGTTCATGCTGGCTAGAGCGTCGACGGGCAACGTGGTTGAACGTGGACGAGAGAGCGGGATACGCTGAGAACTCGACCCGACTCCGGCACGACACGAGGAAAAATGGTTGCGTCACACGGTGTGCCCTCTGCCGTGCCGCAGCTCAGCTTCCGGCGCGCAGCCGGTCGCAGGCCACGCTTCCGGCGACGCACGTGGTCGTCAAGGCGGATTTTCAACATGTTCCGCATGGGAATTAGAATGACTTTGATCGGATTTCTATTAACTTGTAACTCGATTAATCGGAGGGATCGAAGTTAATTCGTTCGAAGCAAAAATTCTAATTATATAAATTGATAAATGTTTACGTTAATTTTTTCGAGTAAAATGCATTGGAGAGAGAGTCTTATCTGATTGGTCGATTCCCGATTTCCACTACGCAAATTTCATTTGCGCAATTTGTACTTGTTTTTTTTTGCGTGGTTTAATCACGCAAAAAAAAAAGATTGTAATAACCATGTGGATCGTTATTACATTCGTGAGTTAATTAGGCGGTATAATTTATGGAACGTGACGATACGTCTTTCTTTGTGGAACCAGAGTCTCTGGTGGAACACTTGAAGGGGGCGAAACAATCGCTTGCGGAACGCTGGTCGATGTCGGTGTCGACTGGTGTCGACTTGTTCGGCGGGAAACCACTGGATAACAACTGGAAACCGGGGGTCTAAGAGCAACGCAATCACAAATTAGAGATTGATAGAACTCTTCGGTCCACGGTGACAATAATAAACTGCGATCATGTACGAATTAACGGAAGGAGCGTTGGAGGTAAGTCTGCTAGAGACTACATACGTCGTTGATTGCGTGGCATTTCTTAACAGGAATCTGATCGTTTCAGAAAATGATGCGGGGCATAGAAGTCGTGAAGCCTGTACTCCAAGTATTGGTGAGTGCGATTAGTCCGCGACGAATTTTCTATTCTGTCGCATCCTCGTAGGTCGCCTAGGGCGAAATTGGCCGTCCAGGAAGCGTGGCTCGTTTGCCAGCAACATCTAACCTGCAGAATCTTGACACTGCTTCTATCGCTTTTATTTTGACTATAGATTTATTGAGATAAGAAGCTTGTCATGCCTTGATGTAGTGCGCGTCACGACATCGTGATGTGTCTCTGCCACGTTGATATTATCTCGATAGTCGTACATCAAGTTCTTGCTCACAGTCATTGACGCTTTGTGGATAGGTTGAAGGAGTTCTGTCTTGTGGTTTTTAATGGGTGGAATGCCAAGTGATTATATATGCTATTTTGCAGGGCTACAAGAAACTGCCGGTAACCGCTAACAAGGATGGCTCCGATCGGTACAGACTGCTGGTGTCCGACGGACAGAAGCTGAACTCGTTCACAATGTTGGCCACCCAGTTAAATCACTTGATCACCGACGACATTTTGAATGAATACGCAGTCTGTAAAATAACAAACTACCATTTGACCACAGTGAACAACAGTGGAAGAGAAAAGTATGTATATATATATTTTTCTTGTCTTACATTGAAATATTTCTGAATAATTCAAATGTCAAATACATATTTTATTCTATCAGGCACGTGATATTGTTACTGGATATCGACGTATTGGCTTCTGGCAGCAAAGTTGGACGCAAGATAGGCAATCCAACTAACATAGAAACAAAATCAGAGCCCGAATCTACATCTACGTCTGCCTCAACTACACGTTACCAAAGTGAGTATGTCGTTGATTTATTGCGTAAATTGCGTTTAGAATAAATTACCGATCAACTTGTGTTGATGATGTTTTCGTCGCGGAATAAGAAATCTTTCTTGCTTATGACAGATGGTTCAGCAAAAACGGCTACTTCAAATTCAGATTATCACGCTAATGATACTGTGTCCACTACACCAATTGCGGCATTAAGTCCATATCAGAACAGGTGATAGTTTGACTCTATATGCATAAGATATTTCTAGATATGTGTGTGACGTTTTGAAAAATAATAATTTTCGTTTAGGTGGGTGATCAAGGTTCGCGTGACCAGCAAGTCTCAGATCAAAACGTGGAGCAACTCCCGCGGCGAGGGCAAGCTCTTCTCCATGGACCTGATCGACGAAAGTGGCGAAATTCGCTGCACCGCGTTCAGAGATATGGTCGACAAGTTCTACGACATGATAGAGGTACTGTCGCGCGGCTGAAATCAGCGTACGAGTCTTTTTTTTCTCTATGGAGGATTAAACTATCAACCGTTTCGTTTGTGCAGTCTGGAAATGTGTACTATATCTCGCGGTGCCTGCTGAAGGCGGCGAACAAACAGTTTAATACATTGAAGAACGATTACGAGATGACGATGACCGGCGATACAGAGATCGTGCCTTGCCACGAGAACAGCGATGACATCCCGACGTTGCAGTTTAACTTCTGTCCCATAAGCGAGGTGGAGAACAAAGAGAAGAATGATCTAATGGGTAATCCTTTTAACAGTTCGATTAAATTTTCTATTAAATTTGAAACATTAAAGTTTCGTCACTCAATAGATTTTTTTCAATAGATTATACGTGTTATTGATAATTTTCTTGCGATAAAATCTGTATCAACTGTTGACCTTTATATTACATTTTGTTATCTGCTTTAATCTTGTTCCTAAAATTATTGAAGAATATCTATTGATAATGCTTGCTAAAAAAAAGAAGTTTCACTATATATGATAATAAATAGCAAATTTTATATGAGATAAGATAAAATAAGATTCGTATATAATTCGACTAATATGAAAATTATGGACGTGTTCGTAATAGATGTTTTGGGTGTCGTTAAAACTGTCGGCGATGTACAACACTTTGTACAGCGAACTACCGGCAGAGACCTCGTGAAGAGGGACGTTAATATCGTCGATGACAGCGGCACGATGGTAAATAATTTTGACACGCCAGATTTTACTGTTTTGCTGTTACGAGTGAATAAATGAATTTTCTGTCAGGTATGCGTTACGATGTGGGGAAAGCAAGCCGAGGACTTCGATGGCTCTAATACCGAGGCTCCAATAATCTTAGCCATTAAGGGAGCGCGCGTGGGCGAATTCAATGGGGGAAAGAACTTGTCCCTTTTACAATCCTCTGTAGTTGAACAGGATCCTGATCGTCCTGAAGCACACAGGTATATTGAATCTGACTTTTGAGACAGTAATCATAATTTCTTAATTACAATTAAAATTTAGTCTTACTAGAGAGAAATGGCCTCATTTTTTATTTGCTTTACATTTTTAATGTTAATTTTTTAATTATATTTTTTTATCAATTTCTAAAAATTTAGATATACGATATAATTACATAAAGTTGCAATAATATAACATTTAGCTGATGTATTACAATGTCAATTTCAGATTGCGCGGATGGTACACTGCAGGCGGTCATTCGGAGACCGCGAAATCATTGTCTAGAACACTTGGAGGCGGTGGTGATTTCAACGCGCCGCTGTACACTTTCCAAGAGGCGACCGAAGCTCGATTGGGGGAGAAAACGAATCTTCCAGATTCATTTACGGTGGTGGCGACTATTAACATGATTCGCGTGGAAAATGCTATCTACAAGTCATGCCCAGTGGAAAGTTGCAAGAAGAAGGTAGTGTGCGACGGATATATTTATTGAAAAAAATTTGTCATAGTTCTAAAACTGCCCTTCAATGCGAAATTACCGTGAAATGCTGTTCAATTTTCAGTTGATCGATCAATCTACCGGGGTCTTTAGATGCGAGAAATGTAACAAGGATTATCCAAATTTCTCGTATCGCTTGCTGGCGAGTGTACGTATTGTGTCTTCGCGTCGTTCTTATTTATTATATTTGAAAGATATCAGTTCGGTTTTATGTCGATTTACAGATGAATATAGTGGATGCAACAGGCAGTCGCTGGATAACTGCCTTCAGTGAGCAAGCTGAAAAGATATTGGGGATGTCGGCGCAAGAGTTGGGGGAATTGAAGGAGAACGATAACGAGGCCTTTTTGCAGAAATTCGGCGAGGCGAGCTTCAAGAGGTTCACGTTTAGCTTGAGGGCAAAATCGGAATTTTTCCAGGTAATCAATACAGTGTGCGTGCTATCGTGTTAATAAGATTCCTTCCGCATTTTTCTTTTCTAATTGTCTGTACAACAATAGTCTACCTTTTACCATTGCATAAAATTCGTATTTTTAGTCAATCTTGTATATTATTTTCTAAAATACTATTTTTTAATAATTTCTACGTTTTTCTCAGGATGAAATGAGAATAAGACATACCTGTACGTCAGTCGCGCCTGTAAATTACAAGACTTACCTGGCCCATCTAACAGAGAAAGTCTCCAAGCTGGCGCACATTGAGAAGTTGGATTCCAATTAAATTTCACATATTTCGCGTTTAAAGAGAAAGAGATGTTTATGTTTAAAGCCATAAAGTTTGCGCATTAAGTACAATCTATTTTTTTACGTTTTTCTCGAAGTTCTTTCTGTTTGTTTCTATCATTCGATGAAATTTAATTATTTTTTCATGTAAGCAAAGAAAACCGATGTATCGCAAAAAAATTAAAATATATGTAATTACATTACGTTACTTTTAAGAATATTTATATTTTTCCTTTGTATTGTAATTACTATATAACAATTATTGTGCCTGTAGCACGATTTTTATAAAATAAGTGTCTAATTTACACATTGACGCTCGCGTTTTTATTATTATCTGATAAGTAAGTGAGATGACTGGAAAATAACAAATTAACAATTAATATGTCAATTTCGTTACTGTCATTGCCTCGCTTTCCTTTTACAGATCCTAAAATTCTTGCAGCATCGCTTCGGAATTATTCCGCGTGCAACAGCAATGTAATACTTAATATTTATTCAGACTGTAACGCGAAATGCGTCTGAATCATTTCTGTCGCGACTGTCACGTTGTGAATACACGTATATTTTTACATATGTTTCAAAGTGTCTAGCAAAGTGTTGATAAGATCGTTACGCAAAAGCAGATCCTTATCTGAAAACGACTTGTCACGCTGTAAGATTCCGATTTATCTTTGATAGCGCGATTGTGAGATTGAGTCTCTTGTAGAATTCTGTAGGCTGGTAGAGTTTACCTATTCTTTAATTCTAGACGACAGGATCCTGCGGGAGATCGAGCGAAGTCGGGGCGGCGTACAATACTTGATGGTTTATTATTTGCCAAGAAGTAAAATACACAGGCATTTGTTATAATGATACTGCCGAGGAGTAAAACTTTTTTTTCCTTTTTCATCTTTTTTTTTTTTAATACGACGGTATCGTAAATAACATCTAGCGACATTATAATCGGTACTAAAAAGAGAAAAGCTGGTCTCGTGTCCCGTCTTTTTCCCTGCTTACATCGGTAACTTTACAATTTACAAATGCGTTTTCCCCCATGCGTCGCGATCCTCACATTCTCGTCCTCGGCCAGTCTTACATCCGTCGCCGTTTTCTACTTCTGTATTACATATATGGATTTCCACGAGAGTGCCTCGAAGATAGCCCCCCCACGACACCTTGCACGTCTTGCACGGTGGTCCCAAGTACAATTTGTCTCTCGCACTCGTTATTTCGCGGTAAGTACACGAGGAGGTGGCACCGCACCTCCAACGCACGTTTCCGTAGCAGGAATCGATCGATGGAACGAGTCCCGACGGCTCGATCGCGAAATCAATCGTTCGTGTATCTCGGATCGGCTATCATTTCACGAAAGTCTACGAGATGAAGGATCAAAGAGGAGAAAGTGCTACGAACTTATATCTATTATTTTTTTCCTTTCCAGATCTTTCCAGAAGTGAATCAATAATTGAGAAGGAAAGATATAAATAATAGTTAATACAATAATATTATTGAAACGTGATTTTCTGGTGCCGATCGGATGTAAAAGGTGAATTCGATCTCGTGCCACGGCATCGATTCCCGAAAGTTTTACGCCTCTTAGTCGCAAATTGAGGCCGCATATCACATTGCCGGCAGTTCCGCTGGAGCTCTTTCGATCTCCGTTAACGTTAACTCTCGATGCGATTAGCTATGTCAAGGTACGTAATTGTCGCTTAGGAGATATGGAATTGTTTCCGTGTTTCGTATGCGGAGATGCCACCCGGATCTGTCGATCGTGTCTCCCCGGCCCGGCGAAGGTCTCGCTCTAATTTAAGCTCGTCTATCCGCGTTATTATCGACTCCGTTAATTTTTGCTTGACGTATCTCGAGGCGAACGAATACCCTGGATATTCCGAAGCGAAAACGATTATTAGTCAATCGGCGAGTTATTTAGGAGCCCCAAAGTGACTTGATTCAAGACGATCAAGTACTGATTTTAGGATTAATTCCGGTGGAAAAAAATTCTTATTCGTATAGCACCAAATTTATCGAGAAATTTTCATCGAAATGAAATAATTTCAAGTACTAGGAATCATCTCCAGGTACGAGATTGTATTCAAGGCAAAACGCTTTCGCTCCTTCATCCCGATTCTGGGGGAACGAGCCACATCCGACAGCCCCGGGACACCCCGCGCATTTACAAAGAGCGTGATTTTTATTCTTAAATTCCGGAATTTCCTCCCGCTCTTCATCTCTCGCGTCGTTATTCTCGTTATTAAGTTCTCTCGCGTTCGCGCAAGATCCCTCTTTCGTTCTCGCTCTCTTTCTTTCTCTCTTTCACTCTCACATATGCACATACGCACTCTTTCTTATCTCATCCTCCTCACTCCGTTAGTCTTTCTTTAATCGTCATATTCCTACTGATCTATCTACCTAATTGCCTGTTCTATACATTATTTGTGTGTACGTTTGTGTGAGTAGGTGTTTAAAATATGTACCACATAGACCTGCAGATTCGATATGACTTAATCATCATTGGGATAAAGAGGGGGGGGGGAGAGGCCGGGGGGTGGGAGGGGATAATACTTTTAAAATAAGTAAGTACGTAGTCTCGCAATAGGCGGTGATAAACAGTAACGACGAATTTAACAAGTACAATATTGCTCGATCCCGTATTATATTTATATATTTATACGTATGTATATATTTATATCTATTTTTTACTCGTTTATTTATATATATATAATATATGTATATATAATAAAGATACTCTCCGCTCTCTCTTTCTCTCTCTCTCTCTCTCTCTCTCTCTCGCTCGCTCGTGTCAAGTAGCCTTCTCTCGCAACTCTCGACTCTTTTCTACTCAGGAGCTATTTAAGAAAGGGCTCACCGCGTTCGCTTCCTACACGACTATGTATACATATGCATAAATATATGTATATATTTATATATATATTTATATATATAAATGGTTGACGTGTGCACACCGGCCGTGCGCCTCCTGCTTCTGTGGCCACGTTGCTTTTTAACATTGAATCTCCCGACCGGATCCGAAGTCGGTCTTCTCTCCTTCGAGCGTTAAGGAATTTCATTGGCAACTTTCGACGACTGTCAATATCGTGCGCCTTTCGAAAGCTGTCGATGACTCGAACACCCTCGTCGAAGAAGACTTGTCCCGAGAACCTGGCCGAGGGAACAATCGTTGAGGAGCAACACGACGGAGATGGAGTAGACGGCTATCGCGTGCACACATCACGCACCCACATCTATTTATAATTATTTAAAATCTCTCTCGACCTAAGTGATCACTATAGGCCTAATGATCTCGCGTCGTTAGCACAATCTCTCTCTCACTCTCACACGCACTTTTACTTTATGTCTTCATATCTCTCTCTCTCTCTCTCTCTCTCTATCATTCTCAAAATTCGTACGAACCCTTTCACTCCTCTTGTAACACGTTCGTCCGGCGAAGCGTCCGAAGGGCGTTTTTTTTAATTCTTCCCTCTCCGAGAGAAAGCAAAGGACAAGCGAAATCGAAAAGGCTACGCAGTTATTTGTGCTCAGATCCTTACTAGCCGCGCCGCTCGAGACCGACATCCGTTGGCTCGTTTTACCCGTAAAATGTCACCCTTTCTTCCCGCGATTCAGAAACCAGAGCGCCAATTACCGTTAACTTCTCTATCTCTCGAGCTCTCTCTGTAAATTGATCCGATCTCTCTCTCTCTCTCTCTTTCTCTTTCTCTCTTTCTCAAAGGTGCAGCGCGCTAGAAAGGACAAAAGGTCGCGATAGGTGCAAGGACTTCGACGATCGTCGGATCTCGCAATTTCTAGCGAATTCGTGTGAACTAGCGGTTTTTTTTTTTTACAAAATCGTCGCGATGAATACTATGACCCCAGGCGTGTACATACATCCCCCTTGAAAAATTTCACGGGTATTACTAAAAACTTTACTACGCGAGGACCTATCATCGCTATCTCGCTGGTTTTTTTTTTTTTTTAAGTAAGGTTCACCCCCTCCCAGAATCACGACGTTCGTCCAGGATCACCGACGGATATCGATTCTCGAGCCGCGTCAAGGCTTCTCTATACCGACCTCCTTCTCCACATCGTACGATTTAACAAGGTAGGTACGTCGCCCTCGTGTAAATACAGTAATGTACAATTCTTTCTTTGGAGTTAAACCTTACTGTGATCTCGGCGCGATTGGCGCAAAAGGGGAGAGAATTGGGGGAGGAAAGGGGAGAAACTGGGCGGGTGAGCTGGACCGGAGGGACAGGGGGAGGGAGGGGACAAGGGGGAGTAACACCTACGTTCTACGTTGTCGAGTGCGAGTCGAGCTTTTATTTTATTTTTTTTCTTTAAAAACGACGAAAGAAGACCTCGCTCTATCTACAGCTTCAACCGACTCCTAATAATCATGTGTGGCTGAACGCGTTCTCTTCGTTGCTTCGATTATCTCGCCATGTGAGTCCTCTCCTTCTTCTTCTTCTTATAATACTTGTTGTTCCTTCCTCTTCTTCCACCTCCGTCCTGCTCCCTCGTCCTTCGCGCTCGCGCGATTCCACTCCCTTCCTCCTCCAAGTGTCGCCGCGCGATCTCTCCGCATACCTCTCGCGAGCACCCGGCGAAATTCGCGAAACGCTCGCGAAAATTATTCGCGATACCCCGGACCTCGGGAATGCGCGTAATCCGATCAGGAGGGATGGGGAGAGGGAGGGGGCGAAACAACCCCCTGCGTTTCAGAGGAGACTCGAGGGAGAGGGAGATTTAGTGTGTCGCTTCCCTTTTCGCTTGTAGATAGTGTATATTCGCTGACACGTTCGAATGTTGATCCTCAAGCGCAAGTTTTATAATCGCGGAGAGCGGCAATACACGATGAGACAAATAAATAAATTGTATTGTACTCGTAATCTCTTTTTTCTTTCCTAACGGGAGATAAGTGTAGTAATTTTTGTACTATTATCTTGTTCCTTCCTCTGTTTTTTCCCCCTTCGTTTGTTACCTGCGTTTCCAGATACTGCAGTATCCCGCTCGACTCTCTAGAGTCGATTAAACCGAGAGAATTGAATTAATCGCTGGCAATTTTTCGTGCATTTAATCTCCCCGGTTTGTGTTACGTGTAATGTGTGTGACTAACGAGAGGTATATATAATATATATATATATTTTTTATTTAAGTTCCAACATCGTTCAACGCGCCCAACTCTACCGGCAAAGGGAACGAACGCCGCTCGTTCCTAAACCGGAGATTGGATTTCGCTCCGTTATTTTTTAAACTACGCGATAAACTCGACGCTTTTGCCGGGCTAGAGGAAAAATTCCATCGGCTTCTTCGTTGTTGATTTCGGTACAATGAGAACCGTTCCGTTAATCTTAAGTTTAGAGATCCGTTTTTTAATTCAGCTTTGATGACCGATATTAGCCGCACTGACGCCTCGAAATCTTCGAAGGCTCTTTCGAATCGGCGAAATTATTGCCATTGTAAAGACAAAAAGCCCGTGTCGGAGATTAAATCTAATTTACGGCTGCAGAACGGATTGCCGAACTAATGAAGTTGAAGTTCGATCGGAAAATTAGATCGGGCGTGTCTTTCGACGCGCGTTAAATCAGGAAACCGGAGGAACTCTTGCGCGGCCCGCAAAATCTTAAGCCGAAAATCAAACTCAATCTCCGAATCTGTAACCGCGAGAATCTACTTCGGCGTGTGTTAACCCTAAACTTGCAGAAGTTACATTACAAGCAAGTGAAAATCCAAGATTATATTATACGAAGGAAATGTAGCGGATACTCACCAGAGTACGACAACAAATTCAGGCGTTTATTTTTTTCTTTCACGTCGATCTCCCCAGCCGCATCGTTCGCGGAGCGAATTATATATATATATATATGTAATTATGTAATTAATATAATAATCTTAAAAGAGAGACCGTGCCAAAATGTCCGAAAGACGTTCAAGAGATCGCAAGTCCTTTTACGTATATATCTTCGCGATGATTTTTAGAGAGCGAGCACGAGACTCACGCGGTCCCTTGCTTACGGGAACTCGAAAAAAGGAATATTACAAAATTCTGAAAACTGCATTTTACGGAATCCACTCAAGTCAAGTTTAGGGTTAAGTATGTATCATTAAGTATTACATGTCCCGACCCCGATACCAAACTCGAGAGGCATCGGTGAACGCGAACGAAGAAACAACGTTCTAACAGACGAAACGCGATAGACCGCGAGCAAACGATCGAGTGGACTTGTCGAGTGTAATTGTGCTGATTGCTGTTGGTGTCGATGTTGTTCTTGTTGCTGTTGTGTTGTTGTTGTTGTTGTTGGTGGTGGTGGTAGTGGTGGAGGGTGATGGTAGTGACGCTCGTGGCGGCCGACGGGGTGCGGATGGTCGACTGAGAGCGTGGCCGCTTACTTGAGTAGCTGATGAGCTCGCTCGTTGGCCACCTGTATCCTCGTCTCGTTCGATTCGCCCTGCGTGGCAGAGAACAAAGAAAAAACAAGAACGCAAATGTCGTATGCGTCGCGAGCTGCGCGAACGTCGAGGGCCGATCGACATTGGTGCGGAGTCGAGGGGCTTCCGGGGATCGGAATAGCTTAAAGTTTCTCGACGCTGCGTCGGAACGTGATTCTTTTCCTTTTTTTTTTTTGGTCTCTTTTCCCTGAGGAGGCCTTACGGGAGCTGAAAGATTCTCGGAAAATTTGCCGCTCGCGTAAACGTCGACGCGCTTTCGTCAAGCGCGCGAGGAAACGAGTATCGATCGCGGCGGCGACGTCAATTTGACGCGGAGATTGTTTTCGCGCTGTCGCGGAGAATTTCGGTGTTCTTTCACTTTCGTGGACAAACGGGAAAGATTGTTACGAAGATTCTCATTCGCGAAAATTGCTTCGCGCTGAATTCGCGGATCGTCTCGCTATAATGACAAATCGATTTCTATTCCGCCACCGACTAAGAGACGACGGTTTCGTTGCGACAGCAAGACGCGTTCGCCAGGAACGGATTGCTCCGTTTCGGCCGCGAATTCGCTATTTTTCTGTTTTGCCGGAAGAATCCTCGATATAATCGAATAATCTTTCAGTGTATAGCGAGATTTCTTTTGTTTCGCGTGAAATAAAGCAAAAAGTTTCCGAAAGTATCGCAATAGCAAGATTTCTTTTTCCCTTCCGCGCACGCGATTTCGGGAAGACGATGCGATTCCACGCGAAAAATTCTCCAAGAATCCCGAAGCTCATTATACTCAGACCTCCGCGTGCGTACGACTAATAAATAGTCGCGAACACATCTCCACGCGGCTGTTTGCGGGAAGGATGAAATTCGCATGCTGCAGGCTCCTCCGCGACGTGTGTCAAGCGTGTTAACCCGATCGACCCCGAGGAGCATCGAACGGTGCGATCCCGACACGCGGGGTTCAAAGGGATCAACGAGAGGCATTCCGACGCCGTCGTTGACGGCGGCGGCGACGCCCCGTTCGTGACACAATCACAACGAGAGTGACAGCACGTGTGACGGGGCCTTGTAACAAGGCGTGTGTACGGAAAACGATGACACATCCCAGTGCGATGCTCATGCCGCTCGCGATAGCCGCGGTACACGTCGCGCTTCTGCCGAAATAATATTTCCAGACGTACAATATAATTTAGAACTCGTCTAGAATTATTTTTTGAATATTAGGTCATAAATTAATTGATTGTCACATTATTAACTGCAACAATTACTAAAAGGGCACACAAATTCCCCTCCATCGATCTCAGATCCATTAACGTCCGTGATTAAACAGATGGGACACCGATCGTTCCTCAATGTGTCACGCTCGTCAGCGTGACACATTCGAGATACACGAGGTGCATCCCGCAATTCTATAGCAATTTAGCAAACGACTGAATCTGAAATTGAATCTTCTTCTGACCGAAAAAAATAAACAAACACTCGTGGCTTTTGACTTGTGGACAATAAAGATTTTTCGCAAGCTTACAAGCTTTCGAGAGATTACCGGCAAGATTATATTCCCTTAGCGCAATCCGGCCGTGGGCGAATACCAGATCGGCCATTCCCACCTAAGAAGCTCTTTCGTGTACCGCGGCTATCGAGCGGCTGTTCACTGTATATCGTCGTACATATCGACGGAAAGCTTGGTAGTGGTGATAGAAGTAGTAGAAGTGGTAGTTATTTAGTGGTGGTGGTGGTGGTTTTCCGTTGTTGCACAGAGGTTGCTAGCGGATCGGGTTGGTGCCCGGGCGACGATGAGAAAACAGCAAAGGTGGTGGGAACGGGAAGGGTACGGACGGACGGGGCGGGGGGACAGTGGGGAACTTTCGTTCGCAGAGCTGGGAGTATTCGAATAATTCGATATTCCAAACGATATTCCAAACGGTATTTCAAAATATCACGTTCCGCAATTGCAATATTATCACACCCTCGACCGCCGCGATAAATTAAAGATTGCAGTCGGAAATGATACGGCGATGTTGTAACTCTCGGTAAGTCGCGCACAATATTCGCGCGCGTACACAATGTCGCGCTATACGCGTTAGACCTATTATATTTGACAAATCAACAATTCAAACAATTCTATCCGATAACTAATAATCTAAGCGCGTGGATTTTATAATTTCAGCACTTAACGTCCTACCGCTTAAACTCGCGCGCCCACCCCCCCCCACCGAACAATCCCAGCCCCGAGATCGCGTGTGTCTCACAATCAGGCTTCCCTACATGCGTAATACACATAAATACGCGCGTATAATCTCCATTTCTCTCTCTTTTGTTTTCTGTTCGAGACGGCGTCTCTGTGATATGTAACTTGGGGCTCGGAGGAGGCGGATACGTGGAGACAGAGAGAAGACGCATTTTACTTGAGCAGGGCGTGCGCACGTTGGTTCGCCACGGCTATCCTCGTTTCATTCGACTCGCCCTGCGGATTATCAGTTCGGGTTTCGGTCACAGAGGTATGTGTGTGTGTGTGTATGGAGGAAGGGGTTGTGCGGTTTTAATTCACCGGCGAGTGGTGTACAATCTCTCTCGTCTCGGCTCAAATATCGCGGTTTCGCAGGAGATGCGCGTTCGCAACCCTCCTCTCTTTACACTTCGCTCGCTTCCGAGAGAACCGTACTTGCTGCTCGACGAAAAATCGTCAGCTGGCCACCATCATATAGCGAGATACGATCGATAACTAATATTATATACATCGTACACGGATTTGTGTGACGTTATATTTAAAAGGAATCAATTGAATCCCGTTGGCAATCGTGAAAAGTTAATACTCGATTGATGTATCTCTCTCGCTTGTTTCCTCCTCCCGTTCGATTTGCCTATAAATCTTTCATTGATCAATCGCCGACTGTCCGAGATTGTACACCACTGTGACATCCCGCTAAAGACCATCATAATTATCTTCGGATCACGGATTTTCGAAATTAGCCGATTAACATGTAAATTACGTGTGGATTACGTGCAAGGGACAGAAAATTATATTAAAATTTTTCTTTCAAATATATATTTATATTTTAAAACGTATGGCCTTTAGAGAGTCGAAGCTCCTCAAACGATCAATATTCGATAATGTGATCGAAGGAAAAATGTTAAGAAAAGTTAATTTCGATAGCGTGAAGGAAAAAAAAGGTAGAAGCGAAGAATTGTTGTTAATAAGAAAATAAAGGAATAGAGAAAGGGAAGGGAAAAATAGCTCGGTGATAAATTTAGACTGAATAAATGCCGAAGATTGGAGGGGAAATGTTGATATTTCAATATCGATTGATTGGCGCGTTTAATTCGGGTTTAATGTTAAACGCTGCAAGCGTATCACATGCGGGTAAATATGAGTCATATGACAAGAAAGATCGATCGCAAGTTCAATAGCAGCGCGTTGCAATAAGTAATGACAGATAATTATTGAAATATCGTTACCATAAGTGTTATGAATACGTATATTGATCGTTCGAGAAGCGTTTTATGATCAGACAATTCTGTGTGTGTCTCCTTTTGTCTAGGATCTACTAAAAGAGACTATGGTAAAAATTTAGAGATAACTGTTCTCACGAGTTCTCAACTATTTTTATTTAAGAAAAAAAGAATATTAAAAATTGTTACGTCGTTAAAACGACATAATTAAGTAAATAAATTGCTATATTTCGCTCATAAATTCGCAACAAACTTTGCCCACTTCGCAAAGTAAATGTTACTTTTTTGTAAAAAATATCTGATTGATTATAATTAAAGAGAGATACAGTTATACCAATTTATTTTGCGCAAAAATAAAATTAAATTAAAAGTTTTTCACTTTTTTATATCTTTGAGTTAAAAAAAATCTCTTTCCTTCAAATTTTAATTTGACAGTAATTTTATGCGCAACGCGTTGAAAATCTATGAAAAATATATCATAGTCCCTCGAAAAAGACTTTCGTGAAAAAGAGAAAAAATAGAAAGAGAAGGAAAGGTAAATCCGAAGCGTGATTGGACGCGTGGGTGGTGCAGTTACATACAAGAACACCGAAGGCAGGCTGTGCTGAAGGAACAATCGACGAGTATAGGGCGGAGAATTTCAGCGAGGAGCCGTGGAATAAGGGCGCAATATTTAAGACGTGGGGGTGGCGGGGGCGCGGAAATTGCGGCGGCTAAAATCGTGCGATGTGCGTGAGCATGCAGTCTCGCGTTGCAATGAAATCCTTTGGAATTTCACAGAGATTTCCGGGAATCGATCTTGAAATTGCCCTTCCACAAATTCGCAATTGTGATCACGTTCCGAACTTCAATCCTAAAGAGCAGAGGCATTTGTTTCGAACTCGCCAATTATAAGAACTTTTATAATTCGTTGAGAGACGCGAGAGCATCTCTGCATTTCTAACATAAAGCTCGATATAATTAAGAGCAATCGAAATAAAGAGGAAAGGTTCCTATATGTATTTAAAGAACATCAAGTTTCCGAATATTTGCGTATTTTTGTAATTTATTATTTATTACTCAAATAACCAAGATATTTACATATAGTATATCGATTAGGATTAAAGTTCGTTATCGAAAATTGCGTTGAGCAAATCGGAAGATAGTGCTTTTGGATATTCTTGTCTTCGGAGGAAAAGACGAAAAAGGTGACAACGGATGTCGTTGAGATACCTGTCTGGGATTCGGATCATGTGACGTATAAGGACAGGAAGAACATGAAGGAAGGAAGGAAGGAAGGAAGGAAGGAAGAAAGGAAGAAAGGAAGGAAGGAAGGAAGGAAGGAAAGATACATAAGAAAGCGAAAGCGACGACGAACGTGATGTGCATCGCTCTGAGCCTGTGCATTGTGACATATAGAAATTCACGCATATCTAAATCGAGACACGTGTCAGCTCGTCCTACAGTAGTCCAACACACACGTGCAAACAGTGTGAAGCCACATCGATTATCTCTCAGACCGTAGCGTTAATTGCGCCTGATTAAATTAACGTTTTGTGCACGTCCATTGTAAGTACACATTACCAGTTCGGGTAAATTAAAAGTTAATTAAGTTAAGAATTAATTTTTCTATTTTTCTCAACGTTTTTCTCAACAAAAATTCAACGTCAACTATAAATATGTCGGTTCAAATATAATTAATGGCATTACAGATTTGTGGAATCCACGGATTCAATTTCAAAATTCAGAGATTAGTAATTAGTAATCGGAAATTAAAAATGCTTTTCGACCAATAAAAGTTTCATGATTTCCAAGCCCGAGAGGGGGTTTCAAATTTTTCGCTTTCTGTATTTGAACTTTTGGATTTACAACTTTTCATCCGAGTTATTTTAATTAAAATTTCTAAGGGTGATTCGATTGGTTCAATATTTGCTGGTAGCGCTATTCGCAGATGTGCATTGGACTTCAATAATCTCATCGACATACAGGATTATGTCTCGAAGGTTGTATTGATAGTTTCAAGTTTATTGATCTACACTTTCAACGATAGCCCAACAACTTTAGTGAAATTTATGTAAAGCGTCTCGAATACACAGAGTATATCATCAATCTATGAAATTAGACGACAGTCGTTTGTGAATTAAAAAGACACAGTCTTCTGCATCAAACGATACAAACAACAGCATAGCTAATTAAGGAAAAAGTTTTCATTTTTTCGATCTTCACCGTAAATCTTTCGAGAATTCTTTACTTCAAACACACAATCTGCTAATTTACGTTAATTAACTCGGAGCAAGGGTGCGATAGGCAGCGCCAAGCTTTAAACGCTCTATCTTGCTCCGAGTCCAATGATCTCTCCGAGATGCCCCGTTCTCTCGACCAATGCCTCGCGTTACGTATGTCGACGAGACGCGGATCGCCGTTCGCGGGTGGTTTTTTTTTCTTTAAGAGCCATGCCAAGTCGCGCGACGACTGCGGTGCAGCGCTTGGGACGCCGGTGCTGCGCATTCACTCGCCATTACTCGCTTCCTGCCACTCACCTTGCGGTTGATCCTGTCGATCTGCCGGTTCTGATTCTCGAGCTCGCTGCCCATGTCAATCGCCATGTTCCTCAGGTTGCCGATCATCGTGTTCACCTGGCCCATGTTCTCCTCCATCTCCCCCTCCCGCGCGTCGTTCGTGATCTTGGCGATGTAGCCGGTCTGCGGCCCGAGACCGTTGCGGTCGTCCATCACCCGTTGCGGCTGGTTGTTCACGACCTTGCCGTCGTCGTTGCCCTTCCACGTGCCCTCGTCTTCCTTAAAACTGGCGCCTCTGCGCGCGCAAGATCGTCGCGCGAGCGACGCGATTAAGTTTGTCTCGGGAGGAAAATTTAAGGACTTGACGTGTTCAGTGGACAAACATCGATTTGAAAGTCGAACTTAAAAAGTCACGCGTGCAATAAAATTAATTCCGCTAATACTGCAGATTTGCGCTACTTTACTTCATAATTTGCACTTAAATTGATTTGTAGATAGACACATCATTATTTCATTTCGAGAAATTACGCTAAATCTATTACGATACATCAATTTGCAATTTTCATGAAAATTCAGGTCTGATAGAATTTCAATGACTATTTCTTGAACATGGTCAACATGTCTTCAATTATTCAATTCATCTTCTTAAATTAATCTCCTAAATACGGGGACGCATTAAATTTATCTCTTAGCGCACGTGCAAGCTAATCGTGCATCTTATTAATAGCAAACTTAATGAGATGGAAAGTATACAGAGAATTTTTCTCGACTTTTTTTTCTTCTTTAAGGAAGAGGAGTGACAGCGCAAAAAGAAGAGAGGTATAAGAGACGTTAAAGAAGTTGTGTCGTACTTATTACAAGGAAGAACGCAAAGGCCGCAGCACTTCTCCATTCCGGTGAGATTTTTCTCGGCCTCTTTCATGTCGGCGTTAATCTGGTCCATGCCCTCCTCGATTCGGTCCAGCTGTTCTGTTTTTTTTTTTACAAAAATATAACGTCAGATGGCGATAAGGTAATTCTCGCTCGCGGAGACACACGAAGGGGAAAGGGCAACCACGCGAAAAAGATCGTTACCTCTAATTAGAAGCCATAGCGAACGCTCTACAAAAGCGAGAACTAAATTCGACTTGGACGAGTGTCTATGACACTCTCTATTTGCAAAGAATATTCTACATGATATAATCAAGCTTCTGTAAAATAAGAAAAAAAAGGAAACTTCAACCCTTCGCGGTGTTGGCGTCGATTTTAAGCTCATTTCACGTGAACTTCGAATTTATATTCAATATTTGTCAATTTCATAATAAGCGATCAGATAAAAATATTCATTTATATTTATTTATATTTCTTTAAATTTAGTTTCACTGTTTCGATTAATTTCTATCGCAAAATGCTAATTTCTAGAATTTGATATTTACATCTTTCCATTAAAATAAATATATAAGTAAATGTGTAAATATATTTATTTTAATGTAAAAATAACTACGAAACGAGAGCCGTCGCCAAGAGTTAAAGCACGACACGTATAGTTTCAAGCTAGCTCATAACTTATAAGGGAATTTTCGCGAACGTTAACAACCTAGTGTGATCAAGCGGACATCGGCTAAAGGGGCAAACGAAAGCGCGCGAGTACATTGCCCAATCCTCTTTCGCTTTCTAATTTCATCTCCTCGAGAGATAAGCGACGGTTCGCCAGAACCCTCGCCCGAAGGAAAGGGGCGCCCCTTTTTTTAATCTTCCGCGAATTTCCGGTCGTCACGTCCCCTCATCTCGTTTCCGCAGCAACGTCCGTATTACAAAAATTCAACGAGAGAGAAGTGAGAGTTTCGCGTCTCTAGACGAAAATTTAATAAGCGTTTCCAAGTTCGATTATTCTCGGCGGTTTTTTACGGCGGTTCTCAAACGTTTCATTCGCGAGAATCGCAGATGCCCCCCTTTCCTTCTCCGTTCAAGCGATTGCGTTCGATTTCGTATTCTAACACGGGAGATCCATCGAGCGGAGGTTGATGATCTATTGATAGAATCTATTATCTTCAATGATGGCACGAATGGTGAGTCATTCGTTTAGAAGCTCAGATAACAACGTATCAGATATATAACGTGGGCGATTATAAGAATAGATTAAGATTAATCGTGTACTTCGTTTTTTACAAGGTGAAAGGTGAGAAATTTCATAATTATAGAAATACACAGAATCAGTATTTTATTGACTCGCTAAAGGATATTTATTATATCGTAGCATGCGAGAAAGCATGCGGGAGTTTCTTATCTGTCATAAAATCAAAGGAGACGAGCTTAGACTACCTCGAGAATTTGAACAAAATGCTTTCTCCTGTAGTATCATACAGAACATCAATCTCCCCCCCCCCCTCGGTATAAGAGATACGAAAAGCGCCATGTTCCCCGAGCGCCATCAACCGGGATAAGGGATTGTTCGTGCAAGAGGGAAAACATCCGCTCGATAGAGCCCCGCGGTAGACTCTGCACAAAGTGGAGTGCAACGAAAGCGCGAACTGCAGTTAAGCGAAGAGTTTCCTTGCTCCGACGTTCCTGCATCGGGCTAGTTGCTCTGTTATGTGCTTAGAGAATATGTGCGGTGAGTTTGCTTCCTCACTTGGTGGGTGGTGGTAACTTTCAGCTAAGTGTACAGGGTGTCCCGAAAGCTCTCGCGTCGAACTGCGCGTTGATCAAAGTGGAGTCAACGGAAAATTGGACGCAATCCGAAGCGTCCAATTTCGAATTACTAACTCGCGAGTGTTTTGCGGATAAATTTTGGCTGAAGCGCCGACATCTCGGGGATGCAATTTGCATGTCGGCTACTAACGTGAAGAAATCATTTCGTGGAGATATTTAGATAACGAAATTTTAATTTCAATAATCACATTTCAATAATCCTTAAATTAAAATTTATTTATAATAAACTCTACGTAGGATTTATTTTCGGAACGAAGCTTGCGATTTACTTGCGCCGTCATAATTTAATTGTCGTTCTACTATTCAAAGAAATTGAGAAAACGAGCGCAATTAGTAAGTAATTAAATAAGTCAAACGGTTGACAAGAGGCGTTTCGAGACACTCTGTATAGTGCCCACGGGTTTGGCTACAGTACACAGTGGGCATGAGTTTACCTAAAAGGCAGCTCTATATAGCCGCACGTAGGAGTATACTCATTCTCGACTAACAATATGTGTAAGCGATATCCTTGTAACACGAGTATAGCGGGTGTCCGATTTGGTCTGATAACGGTACACGGATTCGGCTGAGAAGCAGAGGCCGGATTCGCGGCTGTTCGCTTTGCGTCTTATAGCCGTGCTTGGCCTCCGGCCTTTAAGCCGGGAGCACAGACTCTTTTGCATAACGCTGCATAACGCACGAGACATAATGCATAAGAAAATCAACCAAACAGAGTCCTTCATTTCATACTCTGATTGGTTGATTCTCTTATGCCTTAATATGTCTTGTGCATTATGCAGCGTTATGCAAGAGTCTGTGCTCCCGCCTTTAACCACGACCCCGACGAAGGGAAACCGCGAAGGCGAAGAACCGTGAAATCGCTCCGCGAAGATGCGTCATGTGTGTGTGTAAAAAGCGAGGTGTCGTGTAACGTCGATCACGGTCTGTTGTCCGCTTGTTCTGTTTCTTCCCTTCTGTTTCTTGTAAAGGTCCGCGCTCGCGTCGCACGATTTTTGTTCGAGAAAATGTGTAATTTGCCTATACGTGTGCTACAATCAACAGACATTGAAAAGTTAATATACCGGAGCTGATGTGATTCTACACGACAGTATATTGATTAATAAATTATTTCCATCGTCAGATTTAAGCCATTTATTCAGTTATTTTATTTCTATTCATTCGTTAATTTCGTTAATTATCTAGTCGATATGACATTATTTTTTTAGATTTTCTCCCTCATTTTCTCATTTTCTCCAGCATTTTCTCCCTCTAAAAATTATTCTCTAAAAGTCTTTTATGTATGCATAAACATTCAATCTGACGGTATGATTTCGTAAGTACACTTTTTATCTGATTTTAAAAATAAGAAAAATCTTTCTCTAACTATATTAACTTATCTTCCTCTAATATATTAACTTATGTATGTATAGTTTAAATTGTAATATAATTCTTTTTCTACTTTTTTCAACTGCACGTTTTATTTCATCATCTTAGTTCGCTTTTCAAAAATGGACTTGTCTTACTTTAAACACACAGTGTATTAAGTTTTAACTTGTCGACGTATCCAAAAATCATGCGACGCGCAACAAACCCCCGAGGGTGCTCGAGCAAAAATCTCGAAGATACGGAGGGGAGGAACGAGGGTCAAAGAACGACTTGAGGAAACCGGAAGAAGGGGGACACGAGAGGGGTACGGCGGAAAGTAAGTATCGTAACGACAGTTAAGTATTAGTAGTACGCAGTGTGGAAGAGAAAGTATACGCAGATAGCAGTGGCGAAGCCGCGAGAAAAGCCGAAGAAAGAAAGAAGGGGCGGAAAGAAGGGCGGAAGAGAACCAAAAAGAAGCGCGCGAGGAAGTCAGAGTTAGCCGAAAAGAAAACAAAAAAGATAAAAGGAAAAGTAAAACGGAGAACACCGCGCTTGAGCGAAATGTAAGTGAACGGTATAACGATGGCCTGAGTGCGCTGCTGGGTAATATATAATACTACTAGAGTATATATATACAGTTATATATCATTGTTGAATGTAACAGGGGCGTAGCGATAAAATAAAAATTTATAGCAAAACAAGGGGGCCTTCAAGATTTCTTCTAACGCTCCATTTATTTCACATGAGCGATTACTGAAACACTATTTTTTCTTTCTCTGCATGGCCCAAAGAATACCGGCTACACCCCTGATTGATAAGTAAATCCGGCAGTGTCTCGATGATGCACGCGTGAGTGTCGCGTGTTATACTATCTTCCCAGCGAAAAGGGGATAGGCGAGTAACGGGGCCCCGTTCTGTCGTCGGCAGATTCGTGTCCGATTTTCCCCGATCTCATCGATATTCCAACGTCTTTAATATCTAAGTTACTCGGTCGTTCATCACGATTGCAACACTCGCAGATAATTTCGCGAGAGGGAAAAAAAATGGATTTCCAAGAGAGACCATGGAGCGCTTCCGCTCAGGGTTAATAATGGCTGTATCGGTGAAAATCGAGAAGTTAGAGAGTGAGACAGGCAATATAAAAAGTGATAACAGATGACGAAAATGTCGCTGTTCTCGGATTAAAGCAGGAAACGTGAAATTTTAAGAAATATATAGGAAATCGACTTCAAACTGCCTCGGAATCGGAGTCCTGCTACCGGTCCCCTTTCCCGGGACAATCTGTATGCAGGACCGTGTCGGAAATACGCGGCAATATTTCAGAGCGATGGTCATGAGCAGATGAGGGGAGAAAGAGAGAGAGAGAGAGAGAGAGAGAGAGAGAGAGAGAGAGAGAGAAAGAGAGATGCGTGTGCAGGAAAACGATACTTCCGTCTATTAGCGGGCACTGCGCGAGCTATCGCTCGCAATTGCCACGCTCACGAGATATCGCCGCGTATTTTAATCGCACGGCGGATAAGAAGAGTACTCTATATTTTCCCCGCTGTAAACGCCCGTGATTAGACGTAAAAGCGAAACGTTTCGTAAATAGATATGTAAAAATCCGAGAGAACCGATCAGTAGGTATTGTTCTTCGGATCGTTTTTTAAATATTTTTAGTGACGCAAATAGGCAAAAGGAGATCGGCAAATATTTATAGCAACAAAATCGCGACGAGCACTATTCTTATCCGCGGTGCAACTATATATTAGGTACGTATGTGCACGCTGTAAAATGTTGATATTTTTGATTTTGTCGGTTGTCGCTTCCAGTGTCGGCCGGGATCGACCGGTGCGTGTGGCGGCCGCGAAGACCGCGCGCCACACGCGCCTGTGTCTCATGATTCGTACTATAATATTTTCTCTTTCCTCTCGCGCAAAACTCTCTATTTG